TCGATGGGCCGTACTGCAACCACGGTCAGTGCGGCTGCTTATGGGAGACCCGGAGCCCTAGGGCGCAGCGGGGTGCAGGGAGGGCAAGGGAAGGACGGAGGGTGCAGGGTCAGCACCAGGGAAAACTAGAGCTGTCCCTGGGTTCCTGAGTGCTGAGGCGGGGCCATCCGGCAGCTGAAGATGCCGGGCGACTCCAAGTCATAAAGTGGGGCAAGGAAGGGACGGTACAGTTGGCTGGTACTAAAGGAACTCAAAAGCAACCGGCAGATAACTTCCCCATCTTCCCACTGTCACCAAGATAGCACAGATTAGCCCCCTTGCAAGCATACCCACCGCAGGCGGCGCGATGCCCTCCTATGCCATTTCCTAGTTGATAATCGCTGAGCTCCTAAAACACGTCTTACAGCCCGGTTCTCGGTTAAGGCAAGCCTTGACATTCAGCACCGCAAGATTCCGCACATGCACCCAGACTGCATCCTTCCTAAGGCTGGCCTAGGAGGATGTGCACGCAGGTAGGTTCACGGTGTGCGAAGTCTGCCGGAGCAGGGAGATGCAGGGACTCGGGGACCAGCAGAGGACCTTTCGTCTTGGTTTGGAAGTGTGAGTGGTGGCGAGTGTACCAGAGGGGGTCACCATACCTCGATTCTTTTTTTTTTTTTTTTAAGATTTTATTTATTTGTCAGAGAGCGAGCACAAGCAGGGGGAGTGGTGGGCAGAGGGAGAGGGAGAAGCTGACTCCCCGCTGAGCAGGGAGACCGATGTGGGGCTCGATCCCAGGACCCCGGGATCATGACCAGAGCCGAAGGCAGATGCTTAAACGACTGAGCCCCCCAGGCGTCCCCATGATACCTCGGTTCTAATCTTGGCTCTCCGCGTACTGCATATCCTTATGGCAGTCAGTAGCCAGTTCTGTGCCTCAGTCTCCCCATCTGTCAAAGGCACGGGTTGTACTGGATGATCTTTTCCATTTCTCATGGTTTTAAGATTCCATTCTGGGACAGATTCCATTTCTGGGACAAGGGGACCTACCGGTGAATGGAGGCATGCTGTGACCGCGGCAAGGTCCCAGGGCGGCGGCGAGGATGACATAACAGTATCCGAATCCGGGAGTGGGGGCCCTGACCTCACTCCATCTGCCTTCAGATATCGGCGGTTTCTTTGAGCCCGGCACCTGGATGCGCTACAACCTGCAGTCGGCGCTGCGCTCGGCCGCCCGGGAGTTCTCGCACATGCTGAGCCGGCCGGTGCCGGGCTACGAGCCGGGCTACGTCCCTGGCTATGACACCCCGGGCTACGTGCCTGGCTACCACGGGCCCGGGTACCGTCTGCCCGAATACCCCCGGCCCGGCCGGCCAGTGCCCGGGTACCGCGGGCCTGTCTACAACGTCACGGGAGAGGAGGTGTCCTTCAGCTTCAGCACAGACTCCGCCCCCGCCGTCCTGCTCTATGTCAGCTCCTTCGTGCGGGACTACATGGCCGTGCTCATCAAGGAAGACGGTAAAGGTCCCACAGCCCCCCTCCCGCCCCAGCTCCAGCTTCCGGCAGCGCGCCCTCCACTCTGACAACTACTGGTTCGCTCGTTCAAGGCCCCCCGAGCGCTCTCCGAAGACAGGGGGCTGTGGGAGCCCAGAGGAGACGCCCCTTCTCCCCCCCATCCCACAGGGACCCTGCAGCTGCGGTATCAGCTGGGCACCAGCCCCTACGTGTACCAACTGACCACGAGGCCCGTCACTGACGGCCAGCCGCACAGCGTCAACATCACCCGCGTCTACCGCAACCTCTTCATCCAGGTGCGCGCGGAGGGAGGCAGACCAGCCCAGACGGCGCCCAGGTTGCGCCCCCGGGGGAAAGGCCAGCTCTGTAGCACGAGTAGGGCACATCCCAGTTCACAGAGGAGTCTCCTGTGTTTTGCCTCCCGGGACCCTCACACGTGCCCTGGGAGCTCGCTCGGGGAGGCAGGCGTTCTTACGTCTGTTTTAAAAGTCAGCGAATGGGCGCCACAAAGTTTTCCACAAAGTCAAACCCCTGGTGGCTGCAACGACAAGGCCCAGATGAGGCTGTTGGGTTTTCCACGCCGAATCCTTCATCTGGGTGGCTGTCCACCCAGGACTGAGCGAGGGCTCCCCAGCAGCGGGGGCGGCACGGGGGTTCAGCGGGGTCTTGGCTTCGTCAGCCTCTGGTTCTCCCTCCCCCTCAGGTGGACTACTTCCCGCTGACAGAACAGAAGTTCTCGCTGTTGGTGGACAGCCAGCTGGACTCACCCAAGGCCTTGTATCTAGGGCGTGTTATGGGTGAGCTGTGGGTGCGAGTGTTTGGGGTGAGGGGTTGTGGGCGAAGCCCCTGGAGCCCAGAGGAGCGAGGGACCTGGGACCGGCTGCGAAGGCGGTGATCGGGAGGAGCAGGAAACCTGTGGACGGCGAGCGGTGAGCGGGGCGAGCCTAGGGGTGGCCCCAGCCCCCGTCCCTCTGGGCCTGCCTCTCCCTCAGAGACCGGGGTCATCGACCCAGAGATCCAGCGCTACAACACACCGGGGTTCTCGGGCTGCCTGTCTGGTGTTCGATTCAACAACGTGGCTCCCCTCAAGACCCACTTCCGAGCCCCTCGCCCCATGACCGCTGAGCTAGCCGAGGCCCTTCGAGTTCAGGGCGAACTGTCTGAATCTAACTGCGGGGCCATGCCACGTCTTGTCGCAGAGGTGCCACCTGAGCTGGATCCCTGGTATCTGCCCCCAGGTAGGTCCAGGGCACACACAGAAGAGGGATGGTCGACAGGGAAGGGAAACGATTCTTAACACGGAGGAGGCTTCTCCTAACTGGGGCTTTCTCCTCTTCAGACTTCCCGTACTACCACGATGAGGGATGGGTGGCCATACTTTTAGGCTGTGAGTAGCATGATCACTACCCTGACCTAATTCTACCCTCCGTGGGCATCCCCTCCGTGCCCCGTATCCCCAGGGCTGAGGGGGGCGAAGGCACTAGGTGTGTGGGGGTGCACACACACATGAGCTAGGCTGTGCGGACGGTAGGAGAGAATTGAGCTGGAGATTCTTTAAGGTTTGAGGATGCTATGGACTTTTAACTGAAATGAAATATTAAAATGGCGCTATAGCTAAAGGATGAGGAAAGGGGGTGCAGTAACCTCCAGAGAGGCGAGAAACTGGGGTAACTCCAGGGATGTGGAAAGAGAATACTAGAAATCAAAGACACCAGGGGTTAAGCCAGGAATTCAGACCTGCCGGACACTTGGGCCTGGCTTGCCACGCTCCAACTGCGGACAGTCATACATGCATCCTTTTGGCCAAAAGCATACATGTGTGTCTGTGGAGATACCCCCAAGAACGGCTCTGAATTGTTCCTTCTTTCCCTTTCAGTTTTGGTGGCCTTCTTGCTGCTGGGGCTGGTGGGGATGTTGGTGCTCTTCTATCTGCAAAATCATCGCTACAAGGGCTCCTACCACACCAACGAGCCCAAGGCCACCCATGATTACCATCCTGGCAGCAAACCTCCCCTACCTACTTCAGGCGCTACCCAGGTCCCGGCCCCTACACCAGCCCCAGCCCCAGCCCCAGCCCCAGCCCCAGCCCCAGCCCCAGCTCCAGGCCCAGCCCCTGGCCCCCGGGACCAAAATCTTCCCCAGATCCTGGAGGAGTCCAGGTCTGAATGAATCAGGAGAAGGGCTTTAGGGACCAAGTCCATCTCCTCTGAATCTCCCAATTCCCACCTCTCCCCACCATGTCAGGGACATTTGGCTCCTCTTAGCTGGTTCTGCTCATCCAGAGGATGCCCCTCCTGCCAAGTCTGGTAGGCAGAGCTACAGATGGGACCAAAGGGAGTGGCCAACCTCACTGCCTAAAGCAATGCTCTCCCCGTCCCCGTTTCCCCAGGCTCCTGGTTGTTTGCCTGCCCCAAAGGAGAAGCTCCATGGGGTAGAGACAGGCCCTCTCTGCCATCCCTGTCCCAGCTGCTGCCAGGGATTAACAACAGAGTGCAAGGGAGATTAACTGCTTCCCTTCAAATATTCAATCTCAGCAGGGACAGATGTGTGGGATTGCAGGGATGCACAGGGCATGGGGGGAGGAGGCTGCTAAATCATATCCCCTAGCCTCCCCCCTGCCCTGCAGAATGTCTTCCATCTGCTTCCACTCAGTTGGGGGTTAGGGAGGGCTTTGTTGCTGTTCCCCACCCTCTCTTTTTTGTTTCGTACAGAGACCAAGAGGCCTCGCTTTTAGCACCTTAGTACCTCCGCTGCTTCACATGCTTTAGCCAAAGCCATAAAAAAAAACTTGCAATGTAGAGAGAATAATGCAGACACACCGACTAGCCAGCCCTCTATTCTTCCTCCCTCTTCCAAGATATGCAATAGCCTTGGTGCCTGTCCAAAGGCTTGGCCCCCTCTCCAGTGCATGAGGAGTCCTCTTTCCTCCGCTCAGAGATGCTGCTTCGTTTGCCCGGGAGGTCCTATTCTTTATATATATTTTTTGTTGCAAAAGCTCTCTCTAGAGAAACTCTATATATTACTCTAATTTTCTAATTATCAGTTTATATATAAAAGAAAAAATCAATCGACTGTCCTGTGCTGTGCCCACAGTCTGTGGTTTTTGCTTCTCCTGTGTTGGAAGTCTCGTGAGGTTTGCTGGCCACTCACCCAGTCCGACCCAGCCTCCACTCTGAAGCCGTGCGCTCAGAGCCTGAGCCGTCCTAATAAAGCAGAGTGGCAGAGCCCCAGTCTGTGCGTGGTAGCTGGCGTCGTGGCGAGGGGATAAGCGGGATGATTTTAAAGGACCCCATCTGAGGGCTCAGGAATTTCTACGGGGAGCCTTCAGAGTCCTTGCATCACTGACCAGGAGCCAGATTGGCTCTCGCCAAACGCTTCTCCTCCCCTAACCCCAGATCAGTGGACAAGTGGGGATCAGAATGCTAGCGCGTCAGTCCGAGCTGCCCCTGTACTGACGCCCCTGGATCCTTCCAGCCCCAAAGTACACAGTACACGACTTGCCAAGATGGATTCTACCACTTTATTCAGGTAAGAGGTCACGAGCCACAGGATTTTAAAGTGCGTGAAATTCACTGGCAATAAAGCCGCACATATACCAGCCCCCCCCCCCCACAGTGCCCACCACCTTGCTCTGTCATTCCACGGTCTGGGGGGAGAGGTTGAGACCCGTCACTGAAGGTGTGGGGTGGGGGGACAGCGAGGGGAACAGGATGGGAATGCTGGCGGAACAGGAGTATTAGTGGTCTGAAACTGGGAAGGAGGGGATTCTGCACACTGAGGGAAGAGGGGGATCAGTCTAGCCTCTCAACGGCTGGATATAACCTGTTGCCCATCTTTTCCTCACAGCCAGCCCCATTTCAGACAGACCCAACTCCTCCTTCATTTGTCTCTGGTAGTTCCCTGTAATTTACGAGTACTTCAGAGCCCACAGTCCAGTTAGGTGGTGTCTCCAGTACACAATGAATACAAACCACTGCAGATGGAGATTTCAGAATCATGGTGGGGCTGACCAGTCAGGTGGGAAGAGGCTTCCGTCAGGAGCCGGCTGGGCGTGTGCTCAGGGCTGAGTGCATGTGTGCCCACAAGTGTGGTGCGTGAGGATATGTGAGTGTGTGTGCACGTTCCACCAAAATCCCTAGGCGACAGTTTGGCCAGAGGGAACCCCACTCCTTGCTTCATGGGACAGCCAGTGGGGTTGGAGAAAGGGAGGGGTCAGTATAGACTAGGGAAGAAAGGCTTGGATTCCCTCGAGAAAAGAGAAGCCGGCTCCCTACTCCAATATTCCCTGGGCCAGCCTGTCTCTGCCCACATCCTTTTTACCCAGCACAATGCTCCTTATTCCCTGCCAGCTCAGCACACCGGCCATAGACCACAGGGGTAGCTCCTCGAGCCGGCCCCATCCTCATTTACGTCTTGTGTGGCAAGGAAGCTCCTCCTTACTCCACCAGGAGCTGAGACAGAACTGGAGGGGAATCTTCCAACCCCCGTCCTTCCCCTTCCCTTAGGAATGGGATTTGGGCAGGGACCCCAGAGACCTCAGCTCAAACTTCACCTCAATCTGCAGACCTTCTCAAAGAAATAAAGTGCTTTGCTCATCGGGACTCCCAGAGAGAATGGCACCGTGGACTGGCGCAGGAGGTTGGCCTGCTTCCTCTCTACGCTTCAAATACCCTCTGCCAGTGTGCGTGGCGAGCGTGATGCCGTCCTAAGCACGTGCAACTTGGGAGCCCCTCACCCACCTCCAAACACTCAACTACCCTTTCCAACAGCAGGTGCATCAGACAGGAAAGTAAATCACCTTCAGAACCTCACCCCTCTCTAGTCCAGGCCTTCGCCCATCTACCCAGAAGAGATAAGCAACAGAGGCCCTGTGGGCCCAGCCTCTAGAGGGAATGAAAGGCCTGAAGACAACTCCATAGCCTGGAACCAGCGTGCTCCTGCGCAGCCCGGCACGACCCCCTGCTCCTTCAGTAGCAGCACGAGGGTCGCCTGCCGGCGCCGAGCCACAGCTTCGGGAGGAGCCAGCAGCAGACTGGCGCCGGCTTTCGGGAATCTGAAAATGTATCCACCCATCTCCAGAGTAGAGAAGGTTTCTCAGAGCCTCTTGGGCCCCAGGCTCAGCAGTTGAACTGCGGTCACCAGGATGGCTCTCGCTCTCTATGGAAGAACAGCACTTAGCTCTCCTTCTCCCAGTGTTGAATATCCACACTCGGAACCCACACTCTTTGAATTTGAACCCTGCCAGGAGGGAAGAGGTAGTAAGGTGACCCGTCTCCCCTCTGAAGTCAGTCTGTGCCACCCGCCAGGCTCGCCCTTGACGCAGGCCACTCATAAGCTCTGGGTACCAAACTTCACTGAGCCAGTCCTCTCCAGGCCCTATGACCACAGAGAGAGATGCCGGCGACCCAATTACACAAGGACCCTTGACTTGGAAAGTTAGAATTACAGGCCAGTGCAGGTGAGGAACTGCCTAGGTTGACTGCCGAGGCCCACAGCCTGCGTAGCGGACCAGAAACCACGGAATCACCCACCCCTAGCCCGCGCTCTCTCCCTCTGAGGCCTGAGACTCGGTCTCCCACTTCTGCAACTCTCTCTCCTGGGGGCCCAAGCCCTAGCTGCCTCTGTGTCCCCTCTCACTGAGACCGCTTGTTCCCACTGGCCACAGCCGAGGCCTCGCTGCAGAGGGAGTGGGGGGGGGATTCTCGGTGTGGGAGACACGTAGTGCAGGAAACTCGAGCAGCGGTGGTGTGTGCATGAAGCAAAGACAGTGCTGCCACCATAAGCGCTGGCGTGGGGCCCGGGAGGGCTAAAGGACATCGGTCTCCCTCTCGATCCCCACGTACTTGAGGGCATCGGCTTGGCTGTACCTGTCCCGGAGCAGGAGGAACCAGGTTACTGTCAAGGCTTTTGTGAGTGAACAGATGGAATCCCCTCCATTTTGCTCCCTCTCCCCGTCCCTCAGAGCAGTTTACAACTGACGCAAGGTACCCGAGAGTAGAACAAAGAGAAAGACTTGACCACCACCATAAGACTGTCTCCTTCCTCCATTCCACCCACCTTAAGTCCCCAAATCAATTCTCCCTCCCAAGGACCATTTCCGGCCACCTCACCTGTAATCAAAGAAGAGCTCTTCACCAGCTTGAATTGCCCTTTTAGCAAAGATCCCAATGCGATGATCCCCATTCACCATGACCACTGCAAACAGGACAAAGCCAAGGCTAGGTTCCTAGTCAGCTCCAAGCCAACAACCGGTGGTGCTGGGCTGACTTTCTCCCAATTCCCAGTGAAAACATAAATAAAGTGGAATTAAAAAGCAGTCAGTGATGACAGTTGCCTCTGTCCTTTTAGATCTGCTATTCTGGCTGGTGATATAGGAAGAGAATTCTCTTTAAAAGATTCTTGTTTGTGGGAAAATGGTTATAATGTATTCAGTGAAGAAAGCCAACTACAAAACAGACTCAAAATGATACCAGATGTTAATCATGACTGTCTCTGGACAAAAAATAACTCAGCAATGAAAAAAGTTACATAACGGATAGAAATCATAGTAAATAAAGCATCCATCACCCACCCTCCCTCCTAGGTCACTGGGAACTCACCTTTGGCATAACAGTTGGGGTTCACTGAATGGTTTGCAAATCGAATTTTGTTTCCTTTCCGGGTAGCATCTACTACAAAATCTATATAAAGAAAGATCATGAGCTCACCAGGCAAATCCACAGCTTCTTGAACCTGATTTCAAAATCAATTAAATGGTAACAGAAATAATCCAATGGGAATTTTGAAGACCAGCAGCACGCATCATAAGAATATGGCCTCATGTGGGTGCGCTCCCTTTGGGTCCCCCCATTTTGCTGGAATTACCGATCGCCTCTTCCCATCTACTGGGTAGGGAGATTTCTGAGGTGTAAGTGCTCAGTGTTCCGATTATAAACACAACCCAGAAATGGGGGTTCTCCCAAAGCAAGTGAACTGTGGCTCGTCGTGTCTTCAAGTTTAACCTGCTGACATCCAGATGGTGGAGAAATCGTAGCTGATCTGAACGTGGGCTATTGTAAGGGCAATCTGATAGAAAGACCTGTCTGAGACCACCTTGGGGCCAGAGAAAGAGACTCCATACCATTGTTGAGGTTGAAGAGGAAGCTGGACATGTATTTATCGTAGACCTTCCCCCGTCGATCAGCCTCATCCTGAGAGATAAGCTGCAGGGACAGAAAAGGAACAAACAGGGGATTGGGCTATCTGCTCAGGGCATGGTACCCTGCCTACAGAAAAGGGAGGGGACAGTGTCACATGTAGGTGCTTACTGAGTTATCACGATGAGAATCACAGGAGACAGAGCTCAAGTTAGTTCATTCCAATACCCACCCAGTGTGACCAGTATGACGACTGAAGAGAGTTCCCTGCCTGCCCCCCTTGTGTGGCCTGAGTTGGGAAAGAATTTCAGAAGAGTGGTTTATCTCAGGACTGCAAACTCTTCTGTGGGATCCCCCAAGAGACCACACGGGAACTCAGCTGAGTTATTTAGAGAGTAATTCATAGAGGTCTGGCCCACAGAAAATCAGAGTTTCTCATCAGTATCTCCCCAGATAGGAATGTGGTCCAAACTGATAGCACTCACCTCACCACAGTATTCAGAAATGAATTCATTCTTTTGCACAGACTCCTTAATGAAGGTGCCCCATCCGGCCACATCTGAGGGGGCCAGCAGCAGGTGCTGGGGAGGAGGGAGTCAAACGTCAGACTATAGGGCATGGGTGAGTGGGCGGGGTGTGTGCTGGGTGTGTACGTGTGCTGGGGGTGGGCAGGATGGAAAGAACAAGCAACTGTTAAGAGGATCTGAAAACAGAAAAAGGTCTAAGCCATTCTGTTCTGGGGAGAGGAAAAACAAAGAAGGGAGGTGGCGAAAGGAAACGTGACACCTCCTCCTCTAGGCCCGGGGGCCTCCTGGACCCAAGTCGCAGGGACTCGCTGGTGCAGGTCAGGTAGAAACAGACAACACCCGTGACGTGTCCGTCCTCTCTGCTCCTCTCAAGCTGGCCAGTTCAGGGGTCACGTTTCTAACTCCTCCCCAGGACAGAAAACCACTAATTCAGTACACGCATGTCCCTTGGGATTTGCGGTAGAAGCCCTCCGAGGAGCCAGTGGAAAGAGGCCGCTGGGGCCAATGTGTCTTTCCCCCTCCGTTATCTGGCCCGCAGGCCCGAGAAAAGTCCTCACCTTCTTGAGGCCTCGCTGGATGCTGCAGTTTTTGCAGGAAACCACCTTGCAGTCCCAGTGCTCTGAGGCCCCACAGGTGAGGCACAGGTCAGGGTCACACTCTCGCACTGCCAGGTAGCAGGGACACTGCTTGGTGTTGCACTGGGTCTTACAGCGACAGCCAGGAAAGCGATTCTGACCTGGGGGGAGAGGGGCGGTTAGGGACAGGGGCAGGCTAATAATGCTGGGGCTCAGGTCTGACTCCAGGGTCAGCAAGGAATGTTGTGTGTTTGGGGAGAGTTGGCAAAACAGATGAGAAGCTCCCTGGCCAATAAACATATAGTCCAGTTTCCTTCCAGAGAAAATGGAGTGCCTCCCAACATTCATGCCTGGGAGTCAAAAAAGCAGGTTTGACTATTGAGAGGTGTTTCCTAGAGATTCCTCAACAATGCTCTCCCTCCCCCTTGTTCGTGGAATTTGGAAGGGAGGTGGTGGGTGGCCCAGAGAAAATGAAATCAGTGCTTTTCACTGCTAAAGCATCACCATCAAAACAAGAATCATTTTGAGAACAGAATGCATCCGTTCTAAGCTGCCCTCCTCCACCCACTGCCCTCCCCAGCACAGTGCCTCTCTGCTGTGGCTGAGACTGGTATCTGCCAGGGGTTAGAAGGTATTTCCAGCACAACTGCCTGGGCACCAAGTTCTGCAGGCTCTGGGGGCTGTTCTCAAACCGTTCAGCCCCAAGCGGGGAAGGGCACGGTGTGATAAGAAGTGAAGGAGAAGCACGTTTAGCCTCTGTCCTACTTCTGCTGATCCAGACGGCCTGATATGAAAACTCCAAGTATTAAACTGAATACATGAATCATAACCTGTGTCTGTTGTAACACAACATCCTAGAAAGGGAGGCTGTGACTGAGCCTGAAGGAAAAAGAGTCCCATGTTTCTGATTTCTGTGTAATTGTTGCTTTTAGAATGAAACACCTACGGGTTTTTAAAAAATGACTTTTCCAGATCTTAAGTATCTTGTTTCCTCTGCAGAATGCTTAAAACACAGCAGAGAGAACCTCAGAAGGCCCAGAGGCAGCAAGGGGCGCAGGCGGGCTGCACCAGGGCCGACTGTCTGGGAGCACTACGGAGGAAAGCGGAGAACGCTTACAGTCCGGGTTGCACTGGCAGAACTTCTCACAGAAATTCTGTGTCATGATGCAGGGGCAGGTGCTGTCACAGGGGCGGTCTGGATGGTCGCAGGGCTGGTAGTTGTACACTTGTGTGGAAGAGTTATCTAGGAAAGAAATGAGTAGACTTGAACATTGCTGTGCCCACGCCCTGTGGTCGTCCTCCCTCCCAACTGTCCAATGGCCCCGACTGGGGGAGGCTGTCCCAGCCATCACTGAAGGCACACATTTAGCACCTGAAGCGAGAAGCACTCAGAGATGATGGTTGTTCGGCAGCTACCATGGGGTGATTTGCTTTGTGGGGAGAGTGTGGAAATGGCCCGGGACAGGAGAGCCATTCCAAACATTAAACGAAGTCTGGAACCTGGCAAATGGCTCACTAGGCAAGTCAGAGACCACAAGGCTCACCACTCTGCCTCCGAAGAGGTGCTCTCAGTTGCAGCGAGAAACTGAGCTGTTCTCAGCTGCTGCAGACAAATCTGCAGCCTGCGGAAGCGGTGCAGGGTCAACAAGTGCCGCTGTAGCTGGGGCAGGCGGGGGACTGCAGAGGTGTGACCTCGGGCTGAACTGCCCAAGAGCGCCCTGCTGCAACTTACCTTTCTTCAGCTGAATTTTCCTGCAGTGTGCAGCCCACAACCTGAAAAAGAGAGACGGATGGGCCTGGGTCATGACTCTAGGGAACTCTGCAGATTTGGATAAATAACAATGCGACCTGCTCTGAGAGACTGTGGTTTGATGACTGGGGACTATCCTCCCCAAATCCCTTCACAGGAGGCCTCTACCCTGGTAGGTGGATGCTAGAGTCCAACTGGAGTCCAGCTGCTCTATGCTTCGAGATTTAAATATAAACAACAAAGATGCCTAAAAACAAACACAAACCTAACCCTCTGTGTCTATTATAATGCTATTGTTTCTCCTTCTCCCTCTCCTCCCCACCTCCCTCCTTCTCTTTGGGGAAGGTGGGGGGATGTGGAGGAACTGCAGGATGGGGATGTAGGAAGAGTTTTCAGGAATCTGCTGAGTGAAGGAACTGAGGGGGAGAAGAAGCTACACGGACTTCCTTCTCCATCTACAATTGGTGCCAGTTCCTTCCTTCACTAGGTGATAGTCATTAGGGAGCCAAGGCAGGCAGAATGTTGAATTTAAAAAAAAATCTTCCAGGGGCGACTGGGTGGCTCAGTCATTAAGTGGCTGCCTTCGGCTCAGGTCATGATCCCAGGGTCCTGGGATCGAGTCCCACATCGGGCTCCCTGCTCGGCGGGAAGCCTGCTTCTCCCTCTCCCACTCCCCCTGCTTGTGTTCCTGCTCTCGCTGTCTCTTTCTCTGTCAAATAAATAAACAAAATCTTAAAAAAAAATTAAAAATTAAAATTAAAAATTAAAAAAACCTTCCAACCCTAAGCAAAGGCTAGCTAAAAGACAGTGTTATTATGCAACTTAGAAAAATAATGCAAGTGCCAAAAGAAAAAACTCTGGTCAGAGTTGAGAAGTGGGAACAGTGGTCACTAACCCAACGAGGAGAAATGGCCTCAGGGTGGAGCCATGAGGCCAGCTCTCATCCCACTGGCCAGGAGCTTAAAGGGAAAGCAGACACTTATCTCCTGGTCCACAACATCCAGGGACGGGAGAAGGGCTGGTCCGAGGAACAGACCCACAGGGAGCATGGAGAAGGCTGGCCCTTTAGTTGTGCAATGCTATACTCAAGAGGGAGGCAGTTGGGGAGTCCAGGGGGAGGTCAGAGCACGGGGAACAGAAAGTCCTTTGTCCAACCCTTGCCTGTGCTTTCTTTTCTTCTTCTGCGACGGGTTCATGAGCTCATCTGTTGGCAGCTTCAGGATAAGTGATTCTTTGACTGCAAACTGAAAGACCTGGAAGAGAAATCCAACAGGACCTGTCACTCCTTGAGCCAGGTGGTCAGATAAGTGAGCCAACCAGGTGCTGGGCATGGGAGCGTTCTGGAGAGCTCGAAGGCAGCTGACTGAGCACTTAGGGAGAGACAGAGTGGCACTGGGATATCGCATCACTGGCCTGGAGTTAATTCTTCACTACCTAGCCTGACTCAAGAAAAGAGAAATACTGAGCACAGTTACAACTTTCCTAGTCAGTAGCTTTTGATACCTCTGCCTACCAAGCCCTGAGTAGGATGATTCTTATCAACATTATCTGTCTCTTCTTAAGAAGGGCGACTTTGGGTACCTTGCGGAACCGAGTGGAAGAGAGGATACAAGCAGCACCACTTGGCTAACCACTAGCTCCCCCTGCTGGTATGAAGAGGGCAGAGTCTTGTCTATTTCAGTAAGCCAGCATTTCTGGAAGGCTGGTTTCTTTCCAACGTGCTTCTTTCCTATAGCATTCGGTTTTTTTGCTTCTTTTCCTTTTTGGCTGTGGGCCCTCTTGAGATTCTGTGAAAAGCACAGATCTTCTCAGGAAAATACATACAAAATTGTGTTGCACATGATTCTGTAGATTTTTAGGTTAAGAACCTGTGCCTCAAGGAAACAAGTATGAGCTCCAAAATGAAAGAAAAGGGCAATTCTCTTTACGCTTCTATTGCTTGTTCTAAGTAGAGGCATCATGCAGAAGAGGCCACAGAGACTCCTCCAAAAGTCAGGGAGCTAAGCAGCATGGCACAGTTCTGGTGTTCCTTTCCTATTGGACAGACCAGCCCTAACACCCGGGGACTCCCTGTCCCTGCTCTTCGGTCTGTCTTCTCATTGCAGTCAGGCAGAGACAGAGGGGCACTGGGACACCAGGTCCCACTGCCTCCAGAGCATCAGCGGCTGCTACCAGACTGTGATTCTAGTGATGGCATGAATGAGAACGGTGCGGTCCAGGCCCAGCTATCGGGGGTGGCAATTAGAAAAGCTAGCAATAGAACATCTGGAGGAAAAAGCAACTGAGGAGACTGACAGAGGGGCTGGGAGTGGCAGCTGCAGAAGCAGGAGCAGAAACATGCCAGATAAGAAGGTCCCCTGAAAGAGTTGGGAGCCCCTTCTAGGAAAGGGGTACACATTTAGAAAGACAGATAGGAACCAGAAACAAAGAACAAAGACCAAAAAAAGATAAAAGAGTATAGAAACATCCAGAAGAGTTAGATAGTGGCTAGAGGCAGAAATAAGAATTCAGCGAAGAGGAGAGCAGGTCCCCACGCACTGCGAGGCCTGGCATCTGCAGAAGGTCCCAGGTTTGGGGAACCCACCTCGTGGCCCAGAAGCACCCACTCACGAGAGACTGAGCCTAAGACAGCTTCCCTTGAGGTGGGCAGCCACACAAGATGGCAAAAGGGCTGACAGAGCAGTGGACGAAAGGAGGGCCGCGCGTGTCCCTGCTCTTCTCTGCTAGTACCTGCTTGCACGTCTTGGTGCCCAGAAGTCTGGCTATTGAACAGAAGTTGTTGAAGTAGGTGCCATGAAAGACTCGAAAAAGGGATTCCTCAGCCCCAGTCCATTCCACAGGCTCCGAGGGTGCCTCCACTACACAGAGCTGAGGTGGGGCCGGACTAGCCTTCTGCTTCGTGGGGGTCTGACAGCGAGAGTTGGCCTCTAAGAGAGGAGGAGATAAGAAACAGGACAAGAGAGAATGCAGTTGTCATCAGCAGCTTGCCGCAGACTCTGAAGGACTTCATGCTACCCTGAGGAACCAAAACATCTCCTGTCTCTACTGCCTATGGCGAAGCTGTAGAAAGAACTAACCGTTTTTAAAAGGTAGTTAACTTCAAGTGTTAGGCAGTGATCCCGCGTTTAGCAGAGGCCTTGAGTAGAAAGAAAAGATCGCTTTCTGTTCAGTGTACCTGAGGAACTGGAGGCCCAGTCATTGCCTGTATCCCTGTCACTGTCCCCTTCTTTAGTCTCAGCCACAGCAGAGGCTGAAGTGTTGGAGCAGGAAGCACTGACCATGTGGTGCCTTCGCCGGCGGCGACCGGAGCACTTGGAGCGAGGGTTGTGAAGCATGGCGTACTCCTTTGCTCCTTCCTGCAACGGATATGGTACAGCTGGGAAGCGGGAACAGGCCCAGAGTCACCATCCTGATCCCCTCCTCACAAACCACCTTCTTTAACACCTGCGCTTACATGCAATGACCCTGTCTTTTTCTTGCTCTGTACCATGTCAGTGTGACCATATAAAAGCTGCTTAACAAACATTCTAGGGGCGCCTGGGTGGCTCAGTTGGGTGAGCATCCGACTCTTGATCTCAGCTCAGGTCTTGATCTCATGGTTGTGAGTTCAAGCCCCGCATTGGGCTCCCCACTGGGTGTGAAGCCTGCTTAAAAAAAAAAATTCTCAAACTTATAAATTTATCTAAAAAAAGATATAATCTATGCATCTTCAACTTTCCAGTGAGTTGTATCTAAAACTCATTTGCATGTCAGCTATATAGAATTTGAGAACACATTCTCCTGTAGATGAGGCAACGAGGTTCAGAAAGGGGAAGGGACCTGCTTCTCTTATACTCTATTATTATGTATTAGTATATATACTAATAGAAAACACCATATAGTATACAACATACAGTACAGTATTAATACAATAAATGTTACGTATCAAGTATATATACTAATATATTATACCATATATATATGGGGTATATATGGTTCATATATATATATATGAACCATATATTAGTATATAGCTCACTGTTCCAGAATAGGAACAAGAATCAGGGCTCCCTGTCCCCAGGCCACATTGTTCTTTTTATTCTACTGCATTGCTTCTGTTTCAATAATAAAATATGTAGTCCTTAAATTTGTACAATATCACTAGTTACTTCTAGAACTTTCCTCCAAATCAGTATGTTAAACTTGGAAGGATATAGTTCATTACTTCATAGCTATGCTTTATTAAAAAAAAAAAAGACCAAATAACTATCATTCAGCTTGATCATCTATCTTCTCATCAGACTTGGTTCCCAAATACTTCTAGCTGTTTCTGAAAACCAAATCTACAAGTAAAGGATAAATGTTTACTATTACTAAGGATATTCTGATTAATATCCTGCAGGCCTTAAAGGAAATTCTAAAGGAAAAGTTTTAAAATTAACTGAATCCAACATCATGTGCCTGTGCTACCCTGTGCACACAAAGCATCGCTTACAACTATTCTAACTCAAAAGGTTTAACATAAACATAATTAGCCTCCAGAGCTAATTTTAGCTCATGGGAAATAGAGGGTAGAGAAACAAGTAACACCAGGAGAAAACCATAGACAAATCCAGAATATGGGACAGTATTCTACAAGATGATGAGCCTGGATTTTTCAAAACGAAAAGAAAAAAATGGTGTGATAATTTGAGATTAAAGGAGACTGAAAAGACGTAATAACCAAATATGACACATGACTGGATGACCTTGGTTTAGAGAAAACCCCAAACCCAGCTATCCTTGGTGCAGCTGAAAAAATTTAAATATGGAATGGACAGATGATATTATGAAATTCTTGTTAATTTTCTTAGATGTAATAATGTGATTATATAAGAGAATGCCTTTATTTTTAGGAAGTGCATGCGAGGGCGCCTGGGTGGCTCAGTTGGTTAAGTGACTGCCTTCGGCTCAGGTCATGATCCTGGAGTCCCGGGATCGAGTCCCGCATCGGGCTCCCTGCTCGGCAGGGAGTCTGCTTCTCCCTCTGACCCTCCCCGCTCTTGTGCTCTCTCTCTTTCATTCTCTCTCTCAAATAAATAAATAAAATCTTTAAAAAAAAAAAAAGGAAGTACATGCTAAAATACTTTGCAAACAAGTATCTCAATGTCTGTGACTCATTTTCAAATGGCTCAGCAAAAGACATGCATACACAAATAGGGGGACAAAGTAAATATGGAAAAAATGTCATTAAATCTAAGACAAAGGTATCTTTCACCTTCTGTGCATGATTGAGAATGTTCTTAATAAAATGTGGGGGGGGGAATAGTCGAGCATTATAGCTGAATATGGACTGACTTCTAAAAAGCAATAAAAGAAAAACACACACACAGACATACATTTTGGGCACTGATGGCATCTTTGTGAAGCATGTACAGGGTCGCAGGGTAACTGCTGTGAGAGGGACAACATATAAATGCTGGTAAGTTGATATAACATGGTGTACTTTTTAAAAGTGTGGAGTAATTTATTTTTTTCAAGATTTTTATTTATTTGAGTGAGCAAGAGACAGAGCAAGTGAGAGACAGAGAGAGAGAGAGAAAGAGAGAGTGTGCACATGTGGGGGGAGGGGCAGAGGCAGAGGGAGAAGCAGGCTTCCCGCTGAGCAGGGAGCCCGACGCGGGGCTCGATCCCAGGACCCCGGGATCATGATCTGAGCCGAAGGCAGATGCTTAACCGACTGAGCCACCCAGGCGCCCCAAGTGTGGAGTAATTTAAAAAGCACGGCCTATGGAGTTAGACCAGAGCTTTAATTTCATCATTGCCACACCACTGACACCTTAACAAATTTTGGACAAAATACCCATAGTTTCTCCACTCAGGATGTTGTTGGAAGCATGAAAGTAAGATAATATATGGTAAGGGCCAGTGTGGTACTTGGCACGCAAGGAGTCAATGCACATCAGGGAGAAAATAAATCAGATGAAGTCTGTTTGTTCTTTTGCTATTATCATATGACTCATTTTCCACATGTATATCCAGTGGCCCTTTATACCATCTTTTCTTCTATTATCCCACTAAAGATGGTCCCAAAGGCACTTGGTTGTATAACCTAATTTTAATTGGTAGCAGAAATTTTATCAAGGTATTTTATTCTTTATCTACCCTCACTGTATGGTGTGGAAAGCAAAACTGTGTCTTTGGCTAGTGCAACTGAACCTATTCCTTTCTAGTTCTAAGCGTACCGCCTTTCCACATGAATGCAGGGGAATTTATCCTGCTGCATAAAGTCTGTCCATCAGGGAAAGGTCCATCTGGCATCTGGCTGTTTACCTTACAATGAAACATCAGTGCTTTCATGTGTTATTTCTCCTATATTTGTATGCATTTAAAGGAAGACAGCAAAGAAAATGCTGTCACACACACGCACTCCTCACTCCATTAGACTAACTTCACAGTCCTTAGTATCTGGGAGCTCCTTAACAGCAGAGGTCATGGGGCGCCTGAGTGGCTCAGTTGGTTAAGTGTCCGACTCTTGATTTCGGCTCAGGGTCATGAGATTGAGCCCCACGTCAGGCTCTACACTCTGTGTGGACTCTACTTGAGATTCTCTCTCTGCCCCTCACCCTGCTCACTCTCTCTCTCTAAATGGATAAAGTTAAAAAAAAAAAAAAAAAAAGAGCAGAAGTCATGTTTTATCTGTGCTTTATGACCCCCAGAGTGCTACATTTTGGCTCATTTGGTTTGTATTCTCAGCAGCAGAAAACAGAAGGACCATTTCCTGCTAAATTTTCAACAGAGTTAACAATGGCAGAGCAGTTTAAGAACATACCAGCAAGGCGTGCCAGTCTGGCTCAGTCGGAGGGGCAGGTGACTCTTGATCTCGGGGTCATGAGTTTGAGCCCCATGTTGGGTGTAGAGATTATTTAAATAAATAAAAGTTAAAAAAAAAAAAACAAAACAAACATACCAGCAAAAGGAAGCAGTCTGTGCCACATGGTTCTGGTTCAATCTTGATCTCTTTGTTCTTGCGTTTATATACATTAGGGGTAGCGTGAAAAGCTGGAAAAAACAAAACTGTCCTGTTTCCAATGGTTCATCCACTTGATAGGATGGGGAAGAACAAAACTGAATGAGGGAGCCATTGTGGGAAAATTTAGATATAAACAGCTACCATCGGGGCGCACAAAATTTAATCATTTCTGACATCAGCAATCCTTTCAGAGCTAATAGGAACAGGGACACTTAGGTTGCTGGTTATTCCGTCCTGACCGTGCAAAGCACGTCACACTACAACCGAACAAGTGAGGACCGAACCGGCCCTGTGCAAAACCATCATCCGAGCAGAAGCCAGGAACTCTGTATATTAACGGAAATAAACAGAAGGAATGGAGTTTGGGGACGGAGAACAGGAGAGCATTTCAGGGCCGCCCCACTCACGGTGGAGGAAGCAGTCGTATTTGAAGCAGCGTCGACAAAACAGTGTGTGGAAGGAGTGCAGGGACTGCTCCCGCTGCACGGACTTGGCATCAGGGCCGTCGATGTTGGGTGTGCACTGAGGGGGGAGTGCGTTGGGGTCTGACATCTCCGTTAGCTCCCGATACCTATTTTTAAAAAGAGAGGTAAGAATTCCTTCCAAGGAAATGTCTTCGCTGAGAAAGTACAGACTGCGTACTGCCACCCACCCAGGTACAGCCTGCCAAGGGAGACTGGGTTTTTTATGGGCTTCGTTGATGACGGAAGGGTGTATAACTAAGTGGATATGTCACTGCAACTGTGCAGGGCTGGGCATACGTCTGAAAGCAAAGAGAGGGCAGGCGAGAATTCTACCACTGAACTACCCATGCGAAAGCAAAGAGAGGGAAAGATTTCGTAAGCATGGTGCTGGAGTAACTGCAGAAAAATGGCCGCATTTAGAAAGTTCTCTGCCCAAACTTATTCAAAATCCAGCAATGGTGACCCTTGGTATGGGAATGGGCATTTAGAGGTAAGCAGGCAAGCAGGAAATAATCAGAAGTGCAAGCAAATCACAGTGTACTTACCAGAAACAAGGCTTTTTATTAACCCAAAATAGGCTTGAATAACAGTTTTGCCTGAGCACTCTACATGGCCTGAGCGGGACAGCTTTCCCTACCTCTCCTTCATGTCATCTGGAACACCATTCTCAGGGAACATTGAGGCAATTGCACTGAAGATCATGTCATTTGGGAACTGTTTCTTGGAACTCTTTTTGTTGCCTGAATTGGAAATGACAAAAGACTCCTGAGTGCTATAATCAGAGTATGCAAACAAAACTGTTTGGTCATTCTCCCTTAGGTCACAGCATTTTGATTAGAGCGGCTTTGTTAACCTAACCACTGACTGTTTAGGAACACATAAAGAAGGTCAGTGCTATCTGGACTTATCTAATAGGCTACCAGTAATAAGGAAATCAGAGTCATGTATACGTTCATGACAAAACCCACAGTCCAAGATGGAAACTAGAGGGAAAAACCTGAGTTTTCGTGGAGAGATGTGAGTATTGAAGAATGCCATCATAATGATGGTGCTGAAGAATAAGACAGTGACACTATGTCCCTGGACATCTAATTACATAACAGAGAGCATAATTAAACATTAAGTTAATTAAATATTAACAACACGGAAAAATGCTTATGACAGAAGATCAAAAAAAAAGGGATATAAAATTGTGTGTGGGAGGGGGCATGATCCCATTTCACATGATGCATATAAACATGTTGATTTATACATGTACTTTATTTTTTATGTATTTATTTTTAAAGATTTTATTTATTTTTTGACAGAGAGAGAGAGACAGTGAGAGAGGGAACACAAGCAGGGGGAGTGGGAGAGGGAGAAGCAGGCTTCCCGCTGAGCAGGGAGCCCAATGCGGGGCTCGATCCCAGGACCCTGGGATCATGACCTGAGCCGAAGGCAGCGGCTTAATGACTGAGCCACTGAGGCGCCCCATACATGTACTTTAAAAAGCCTGAGATATAGTTGACATATAGCATAATATTTATTTTAGGTACGTGTATGTATATATTCTTTGTGTGCGTGTGTATACACACACACACACATTTTTTAGATCTAGAAGGAAATATTAATGCTGATTATTCCTTGATAGTAAGATTATAGGATAATTATATTTTCTTCTTCATAACTTTCCATGTTTCCCAAACACACTACTTTGTTTTCCTTTTAAGTGGACCAAATGAGAAGCACCAACAGCCTTTAATAATCAACAATTCTGTTTCTCCCTTCTTCCCTCTCCCTGTCACTTTCAAAATGGATTATTTACCTTCAAGAGCGTGTCTTTTTCTCTTTCTTGTTACTGGCAGATCTTCTTTGCTATCATCTTGCTTTCCATCTGAGGTGTCATTGTGCCCTTCCTCCTCCTCATCTGAGTATTGATTCAGAGCATCTACCAACTCCAGGAAAACTGCATCACTAATCAGGACAGATCCAGGGATCATCTCTGGAACGTAAAGATTAGATGGATGAGCAGTGATTGTTTCATGCTCCATTAGTCCTGCTAGGAAGATTTTCTTGTACTCACTCCTGAGACCTAGATAGATAACATATGTACATTTTTATATGAACAACCAGGAAATTACAATAATTTGATTGACTCTTATAATGGCAACAGTTCAGCTGGCTGGAGTGGGAAATCCAGTTATTATAGGCTTTATTCTTACTAGGGTAGTTCATTCCTCAGTCACAGATCAACCTGTATTTATGGTCCAAAATCTCAAAGAAGTGTACAAACGATACAGATGGAACAGAGAAAGAATGATAACATGAAAATGTACTTGGTTTTGCTGCTGATGGCTTGGTAGTGACTTCTTTGAATCAAAAGACAGCATTATCTTCCTAAAATCATACTATATAGGGTTACACTAAAACCTAGGATAACGTCTTTGAACACTAGGGGGCGCTGTGGGTAGACAATGCATTTTCAACAGTACCCACAAGTGTCAAAACAGCTGGTGAGGCCATTGGTTTGCAAAACCATGGGGAGTCTCTCCCCATCTTTCCACTTCTTACACCCTGGCAGCCCTTTCTAGAACTACAACTAGATCCGAATGACTCGCTTTCAGGATCGTCGGAATATTATAAGCAATTTCTGGGAGTTCAGGGTATATCTGGATCAAAGTAGGACAGAGAGATTATGCTCATTGCCATTCTCAGAGAAATGAAGAACAAAATGGCTTTGGATGGATTTATGGAAAACTCCTAAGATCATACTTCTTTGTCCACTAAACTTTCTCTCCAGCCACTGATTACTATATATATAAAATCCTTTTATGTCCCAACTCTTTTTACTTCTTAATTTACATTTCTTTTAATTTTTTACTTAAATGCAATTCAGTTAACATATAGAGTATTATTAGTTTCGGGGGTAAAACTTAGTGATTCGGGCGCCTGGGTGGCTCAGTTGGTTAAGCGACTGCCTTCGGCTCAGGTCACGATCCTGGAGTCCCCGGATAGAGTCCCGCATCGGGCTCCCTGCTCGGCAGGGAGTCTGCTTCTCCCTCTGACCCTCCCCCATCTCATGCGCTCTCTCTCATTCTCTCTCTCTCAAATAAATAAATAAAATCTTAAAAAAAAAAAAAACAACTTAGTGATTCATCAGCCACATATAACACTCAGTGCTCCCCACTCCTTTTAAAATTTAACTGAGGGGGCACCTGGGTGGCCTAGTTGGATAAGCATCTGGCTCTTGGTTTTGGCTCAGGTCATGATCTCCGGGTCACGGGATCAAGCCCTGCATCGGCTCCACGCTCAGCACAGAGTCCGCTTAGGACTCTCTCTCCCTAAAATCTGTAAGAAATTTGAAAACATCTTACAGAAAAGCTGTCAGGTGTATGTAGGCCACTTAATCACTGAATATCTTGACCTGTCGACCTCTCATTGAGTACATTAGCCGTTGATAATCTGCCAATTTAAATGGCCCCTGTTTAAACTCTCATGCTTTGGAGACATACCTGTTCCAGAAGATAGCATTGAAAGTGCCACATTACACTTCTGTGGGAACTCTGCTAATGGCACTTGGGAATTGTTTTAGTTAAGTCATTTTAGATAAAACATTTATTGTCACTGGATCCAATTGTCTGGTATTGAGTTATCAGTTCTTAAAAGATAAAGATTTTGAAGAGGTATGGGAGGAAGTACATTTTATAAAATGTTACAATGAAGCTCAGAGTGACCTTTGAATAGTAGGAGTGTTAGTATGTTAAAAATCTGTAATGGACAGTTAAGGGAGTTACCAGAGAGAGAGAGAGAGAGAGAAACACATGAGCTTGCCAGGCAAGGATTGCAGTAGAGATTTTGTCTTTATCAAATAAACTTAAAGGAACAAGTTACAGTTAAAGTTTGAATGGGAGAGCCTGCCATTGTTGTTCCACATTGGATTGTTGCTGTTTACATTCCTTTGTTGAGCCTACATCTTCATAAGCTCTTTAGCAAGTGTATGTAGAACATCTACGTCTTCATAAGCTTTTTAGCAGGTATATGTTGAACACCTCTGTTCATGGTCAAGACAGGATCAGAGGCCATGGATACTGACAACTGATTTGTCTGTTTTCCTCTTTTTCCATGACTATATCTACTGCCTTGTCTTGATTTATAAATAAAACCTGAAAACCTACAAAAATAAGTGTTTTGTGGTTTATCTAGGAATAATACAGAAAATATTGCTGTTATTTTTGGTGAAGAAAATCAATTTTGTATAGTTTATTTCAACCTAAATAAAATGTGAATTTTGTTAAAAAAAAAAAAAAGACTCTCTCTCCCTCTCCTTTGGCCCCTCCCTCTGTTCTCTCACTCTCTAAAATAAACAAACAAACAAACAAACAAAATCTGACTGAGGACATCCCACCCCCAACCCTGAGGACATTTTTAATACAAAATGTTTACTCCTAGCCACGTGATGACACTGAAATATTCTTCAGCCTGTACACATGAGGCAGCAGATAAAAGCAAGATGATGATATACCACAGAAGGGGCACCACTCTAGTAAAGTTTCCTCCCAAAGAGCCCAGCACCACTACCTTCTTCACCATGGACTTTCCCGTCGTAGTTATTGATCAGCTCCTCAATGAAAGTCTCATCTTCTTCTTTCACCTCATCTCCCATGTAGGGAATATTGCACAAAACTGTCTCATCTTCTACCTGAAATCAAACCAGATGTGATTCATTCCATGAATCCACTAGGCATCTCCTCTTTCCTGTTTAATGGAATCTTTGCTGGGCCTTTTTTGCGGCTTGAATTTCCTGAAAACGCCTTTGGTTACAGAGTTTCCTGCATTTTTAAAGACTGGCCATTTTGTTTTGCCAGCAAAACCTCAAGTGGGAGGGGGCAATGTTACTCTTAGGGAAAAAAGTAAGTTTAACTACTTGAGGATATCAACTACCAAATGTTTAGCCTGATACTAACAGTGGTATTTCCACCAACATCTAGAATCTAACAGCATACTTATTATTCACAGTGATTCCATCTATTATCTAATTTTATCTACTAAACATCATTGTAAAACAGGTACAAATATCACTTAAACAACAGTCTAAAAAGTCTTCAATTTTAATTCTTCTCATAACTGGAGACACATAGATGAAAAGGAAGGCTTCCAAGAGTAAAATCTGCAATATAACTAGAACAGTTAGTACAGAAACTGGGCAACCATAAAGTTTCTGGATATTCTATTATACAGACTAAGACTAACCTCCCATAATCATAATAAAAAACTATGATTATAACTCATGTCAATCACACTCAGTGGGAACTTAAAGTCGATTGCAGCATGAGCTATGAACATTTCCTGGCTAAAGAAACAATACTAATGGATTTTTGGTATTGTTGTTGTTCAGCAGAAAACACGGTTGTTTTTAATTCCCCAAGTATTAAGTAAAATTACTGTGAAGTTTTATTCTAACAGATGATTCCCTTTTGTAAACCTATATCCTATTCCAGTCAGAACGGTCACCAGGCAGATGATAAACAATGGCAGTATTTAGAGAGGAGTGATTATCAGAATCAAAACTAATCCTAGTAGGAATCAGTATAAAGGCCCAGATGAAAGGCTCACGGATCCATGTGCACCTCTGTTATCTCAGTTGCTTTTATAGCATCTTGCCTTTAGGGGATTCAGAAAGGATTGCTCCATCAGCAGGGAGATGTCAACCTCCTTAAGCCTCAAGTGTCTGATTTAGACTGCATTTAACTGCACATTACAAAATTGGGCCAAAGTAGTAAGGGAGAATTGGAGTCTTGCCCAGTCTCATTCATTCAAAAAGGAACCAGCATTAACTCAGAAGTACACTTCAGGGAGCATAAAACCTAACAAGTAAGAACAACTTGCTATATATATACACATATATATTTAGAGTAAATATATTACAACAGCCTGCCCTGCATGTCCAAGTTTTGTTAAGTATAATCTGACAACCTTTACCCTAAGAGAAGTGCCAGCATACAAACATAAGAAAATCATACAGTTTACACAATTACCCCAGTGCTTTCAATACATACCATAAAGTTCTGCTGGAGAGGGGACCAGGAATACATGATGGGAACCAATGCAACTGTGTTCAGAGACCTCATTAACATATGTTGGCTTGCAAATCCTGGGAAAATGCTCTCTATGGTACACTGAAATATAAGCAAAGACAATGGAGAGGGAAACGCAAGCACACAACCCAAGAGAGAACTGCAGTTTCCTTCCAAGTTGATCCCAGTAGTCTTCTAATTCTTACAAGTTAAGAGGGCTTTTAACAATCAGCTCCTAAGAGGAACCACTGGACTATAAACCACTGCAAAGCAGGGGCTATCTCTTCTTCATCTTTGTGTCATCTACAGACTCCAGCACGGTGCCTCTCACACTCAGCTGGTGTTTATTTCAATTTAAAGCTGCTGGTCTCCTTGGGCTATACACAACAGCAAAGGGCCTCTCAAAGTCCTAGGAGATGAGGAAGTTTTCCTGAGGACCTAAACGTTAAGAGAGTTGACATCAACTTAGCTGCAGAGGTGATGGAGACAGTACAGGGGAAGTGAAACAGTACAGAAACTATAGTCATATTCTGTTTTGGAAAAGAAAATTGCTTTCAATACACTACCCACTCTTTATATTTTATTTTATTTTAATCTATTTATTTTTAAAGATTTTATTTATTTACTTGAGAGAGAGAGAGCACAAGATGGGGTGGAGAGGCAGAGGCAGAGGGAGAAGCAGACTCTGCCAAGCAGGGAGCCCGATGTGGGGCTTGATCCCAGGACCCCGGGACCACAATTCAAGCCAAAGGCAGATAGACGCTCAACTGACTGAGCCACCCAGGCGCCCCTACTTTTTATATTTTAAAAATATTATCTCTTTTTAAGAAACTAGAATGAATTTTAGATTTATAAGAAGGAATATCCCTTTGATTAGTGTATTCCTGCCCATTATCCTGGGCACTTCTTTTCCAATATCAAAGTACCAGACATGCCAAACAAGGCACAAACAAGGTTGTTTTGAAGCTTGTACACAGAGCCCAGGAAATCAGACACTAAATCTTTTGTTTTTCTGTTTAAAAAAAAAAAAAAACACTCATGATTATACTCATTAACTGAGGAGAATAATAGGTGAATAGGCTATTCTTTAAGTTACAGATTTACCATCCTAGTTATTCAAAGCTGACTATAATAGCCGTATCTATTAACCTTATTTATTTTCTAATACGTCACGAATACAGAAAACAAACAACTTCAGCCCAAGGAAATGAGGAAGGCTGAGCTTAGACACCCAGAAGTACCTTTTTGAGAAAAGGATGCCCGCTCACGGGCTTCATCAATTGCACAGGTTGGACACGAAGCTTCTTCCATTCTTCATTGAGGATCTGGGTTTTTTCTTGAACCTTTGCAAAATTTGCTACATACAGAGCCTAGAAAAGCCAAGGGGACAATGGTTGGGATTTCAAGAGAAGAGTTTTAAAAAGCCCAGCCCTCCACATTGGATCAATATATTAAAATAGATAACCCGGGGGTTATTTTTGACCTTGGCGCCCATATTTGCCTGAAGCCGTTTCAGCTGCCGGAGTCGCATGTATTCAGATTTGACTTTTCTTTTCCAGTAAGTGATGCATTTGGACGTTGGGGGATTTGGCATATCCATTTTGCTGTAATCTAAGAGACCCAGACATGAGAAAAGGCATTTTACTGTCTGGAAATGAAGAATTCCTCAAACTCAAACAAACATGGTCAGTCATGCTTCCATTCCCACTGCATTTACTCATAAAAACAGTTTAAAGAACCCAAATCTGTGAGTTCAACAAAAGGTTTCAATTAAAAAAAAAAAAAAAGATTTCACATCAGTAATTCCTGGCCTGATCACCAAAAAGCTCAGCCTCTGGCCTCCTGTGCTACCTTGTTTTTATTTTTTTTAATTAATTTATTTTCAATTTATTCATTTGATACAGAGAGATACAGAGAGAGAACATGAGTAGGGAGAGAGGGAGAGGGAGAAGCAGACTCCCCACTGAGCAGGGAGCCCGATGTGGGGCTCGATCCCAGGACCCTAGGATCATGACCTGAGCCAAAGGCAGATGCTTAACCAACTGTGCCACCCAGGTGCCCCACCTACTCAACACCTTGACTAAGAGAAATGTTCAGCAGGGATCAAGTTAATATCAAAGAGCTTCAGGGGCACCTGGGTAGCTCAGTCTGTTGCTCAACCGGGTGAGCACCTGGGTGGCTCAGTCGGTTGAGCAACCGACTCTTGGTTTTGGCTCGGGTCATGATCTCAGGGTCGTGAGATCGAGCCCCACACTGGGCTCCGTGCTCAACCCAGAGTCTGCTTGAGACTTTCTCTCTCCCTCTCCCTCTCCCTCTGCCCCTCCTCCCACTCATCTCTCTCTCTCTCAAATAAGTAAATATTTTTAAAATTAATTTAAAAAAAGAGCTTCATGCATAACTTGCATATAGAACAGAAGATTCCTGCCATGGAAGAAGGAACAAAGTACAGTTATCCCTCTTGTCTACAGAAGATATGTTCCAAGACCCCCAGTGGATGCCTGAAACCATGGATAGTACTGAGCCCTACATATACTTTTTCCCTCTACACACACACCTACAATACAGTTTAATTTATAAATTAGGCACCCAAAGAGATTAACAACAAAACCCAACAATAATATAGAACAATTATAACAACAAAAAAGAGCTTCATGAAAAGATCCACCCACACTATAAAACTGTACCTGCCAAACTGTCTGAACCCCACCACATACCCAGCAATAAAGGTAGGAAATGACAACAGCATAATCTCATCTCCAAGTCAACAGCAAGACACAGAAATACAACACTGCAAATCACTTTTTTTTGGGGGGGGGGTTTAATTAAGGTTCAAAGTTCTAAAAAAGTACTTACTGTAACACATTCTACCTACCTCATAGAATGCAAGGGGAAGTATCTGGTTTTATAATGTGCCTTCTGTTCTTCAGAGGAATGGCAAGACACAAAGGCAAAACAAATGTTCAGCTTTTCAAAAGAGAATAGACAGTGGTTTTGAGTCAATGGAGCATATTTTTAGACCCTGATACTCTCAGTAGGATGCTCACCCAGAACTACACGGACTTTGAGATCTGTGCTAACACTATTTCTACATGTAAGTCAGGCCCCAATCATACTTGATGCCATTTGTCCTTTCTTTTATTAAATTCTATCCTTCCAGTCACGTGTGCAAATATATTCTCACAATTACCAAGTTCACGTTTCTGCTTTACTGAACCAATTTCCAGGCTCAGCCAGCAGACCCATCAATTGTTTTAGATAAAGAACAAATATTAAGTACATGTAAAAATTCAATAAAATCTATGAGGTTATGTTTTTATTCATATTAACTACTGAGATTTCCTAGAGAACTAGTTCAATTCATTTTTTAAAAAAGATTTTATTTATTTATTTTGATATAGAGCCGAAGGCAGATGCTTAACGACTGAGCCACCCAGGTGCCCCTAGTTCAATTCATTTCACCTAGCATTTTAAGTTAATGAAAACATTACAAGGAGCTATGAAGAGTCAAAATTTGAAACAGAAACTAAAGTTTCAGGCCTTGTTCTTTAAATTTTATGAAAAAAATTTTCTTTTGGGGTTTAAGAACATATTTCTTCTAAAGAAGCATTTTTATGATTACCTGTTTTTCTCCATAAGGAATGACAGCACCGACAAGAAAACAGCAAAACTTAACCCACTATTTCACATCTGTCACAATCAGACATGATTATAATATCTCATGCACATGGACTTTAAGAGACTATACCTGATTGTTTCATTTGAAGAACCAAATGGATTAGGGTAAATGTTAAATTCAGAGGATAAAGGAAGGAAAGAATAGCAAAGAAGCAGACAGACTCACTGTGTTTACTGTTAACTCAATCAAGTGATTCAAGCTCTTAAAAACAGAATTCCCTGTGAGTTAAATATTCTCTCTCTGGGGTAAGGGAATGAAACAACAACAGCATAATCTAAGAATCTGAATCCCAGACTGCTAAGGTGCTGGGGTTACCAAAAAAAAAAAAAAAAAAAATCTGAATTTCTTTCCCACAAATTGCACCATCTCTCTTCGTCCTATGTCTTTTAAATACTTCTCATTCGGGCTCCTGGGTGGCTCAGTTGGTTAAGCGACTGCCTTCGGCTCAGGTCATGATCCTGGAGTCCCAGGATCGAGTCCTGCATCGGGCTCCCTGCTCGGCAGTCTGCTTCTCCCTCTGCCCCTCCCCCCTCTCATGTGCTCTCTCTCATTCTCTCTCTCTGAAATAAATAAATAAAATCTTAAAAAAAAATTAAATAAATAAATAAATACTTCTCATTCCTCATGGAATGGGGCCAAAAGAGGGGCTTTTTTTTTTTAATAAAACTATTTAAGTACATACAACACACTCACGTGTAATATTAAGTACATTGCTCACATAATTTCTGTCCTGAACAAGCATAAAACAGTCTGCTCCAGAAAATGATAAAATGATTCAAATCTAGTTTAAAACTGCCTCTCTCAAACACCTTAGGTTACCCCTATTGAGACCCAAACGTTATAGATCATAATTCAGTGAGACTTCATAACCTCCTAAAAATTGGTTTTGAACTGCAATCCTTCTCCCATTTTCTGGGGGAGCACATTTCCCTTTTTGCAATAGTAAGCTTATGTCAGGTTGCTCTGTCCATTTAAAACTGGGGATCAAATAATGGAAAAGAATAAAATCCACAGATGCTAAGGTATGTATGTGTAGATTTCTTAGAGATGGCCACAGAAAAATATCAATATTTTTGTTAAAGAAAGGAGTTATAATTGAAATGTGATCTACAGTCTGTAAAAAGAGATGACAGGACACACAGTCCAATAATTAATGGCATCATTTCTAATTTTACTCAAGTGCTTTATTCGGCCAGAGGAGTATACAGTACACACGAAAATGCCATTGAATTTTAACCAATCACAATGTAAAGTAAGTCACACTTCCTCCTTTTACAATTAATGTGATATCTGAATCTCATGTGACCATGAGCAAATATTTATTTTGCCTGGCTTTTTAATGGGTCTTCAAAGTCTCTAAAGGTTTATTTGGCAGTTGGTCAATCCCCACTGAGTGTATGAGGAAGACAGGACACACTGTTTGGAACAGATAGGTATGATTAAAATAAACACCTGAAACAGCCATAAGATGGGTTCTCATAGCATCTGCATTCCGACCAACAACTATCACTTCAAGATTTTTTTAATTTAAAAAGCAAACAAAAACTCATCATTCAGTGGAACCTATTTGGAGAAATGAGTTCATTCATCTTGGGCAAAGGGAGTGGCACACAAAAAAATACTTTATATTTCTACCAGATGGATTCTTTAGTTACTGACACATGCAAAACAGCCATTTACATTTCAGTTAAGTACTAGGCCAGTACTTTACAGCTTTTCATTATATTCACTTAAACATTGAAAATAAACTCCAAAACATAGGATGTTTTGGTCAATAAATTTAAGAATAAGCCATATATATATATATATATATATATATATATATATATATATATATATATATCTCCTCCAACTTAATAAGATAACCCAATAGAAAGTTGGCAAAAAATTTGAACGGATACTTCACCAAAAAAAAGATATAGGAATGGCAAATAATTGCACAAAAAGATACTCAATATCACTATTAGTCATTAGGGAAGTACAAATTAAAACCAAAATGGGAGCGCCTGGGTGGCTCAGTCGTTAAGTGTCTGCCTTTGGCTCAGGTCATGATCCTGGAGTCCTGGGATCGAGCCCCGCATCGGGTTCCCTGCTCCACAGGGAGCCTGCTTCTCCCTCTCCCTCTCCCACTCCCCCTGCTTGTGTTCCTTCTCTCTCTGTGTCTCTCTCTGTCAAATAAATAAATAAATAACATCTTAAAAAAATAAATAAATAAAACCAAAATGATGGGGGCGCCTGGGTGGCTCAGTCGATTAAGCGACCAGATTTTGGATTTCGGCTCAGGTCAGGATCTCAGGGTCATGAGATCCAGCCCTGAGTCAGGCTCTGTGTGGGGTGTGGAGTCTGCTTAAAAGATTCTCTCTCCCTCTTCCCCTTCCCCAGTGTGCTCTCTCTCTCTCTCCCTAAACAAAACAAAACCCAAAAAGCAAAAACAAAAACAAAAAAACCCAAAATGATGGACTACAACACCCCCACTAGGATGTCTAAAATCAAAAAGATTGATGATACCAATTGTTGGTGAGGATGTGGAGCAACTAGAAACCTTGTACCTTGCTGGTGGGAGTGCAAAATGGCAGAGCCACTTAAGAAAACAATTTGCTAGCTTTTTTTTTTTAAATAAAGTTAAATATATACTTACCATACAACTTGGCATACAGTTTCTATTATTTATCCAAAAGAAATGAAAATATATGTCCCCACAAAGACCTCTATACAAATGTTCATAGCACCTTTATTCATAAAAGCCAATAAGTAGAAACAACACAAGTGTATCTATGAAGTGCTGAATGGATACAAATTATAGAATATACGTAATACTATGCAGTAAAAAGGGAATGAAGAGCTCCTCCTTCCTACACATGCACAATATGTCTGAAGAGCATTATGCTAAGTGAAAAAAATCAGACACACAAAAAAACTATGTACTATATGACTCCACTATTAGTGCATTCTACTAGAACGATTCTGTAAAGGGCAAATCTACATTGACAGAAAGCAGATCGGTGGTTGCCAGGAGCTGAGGTTGGGGAAAGGGATTACATGGAAAGAAGCATAAAGGAACTTTCTTGGGACTCTGAAAAATGGTCTCTACCATGGCTGTGGTGATGCTTATATGACTAGGCACTTTTATGAAAACTCACTGAACTGTATATATAAAATGTGAATTTATCATATGTAAATTTTTACTAATAAAGCTGATTAAAGAAAAAAGTAAGTCTTTCTTGATGATAGATCAATCCAGTAATTTTCTAGAGATCTTTACTATAAAAATCAGTATGCAGGGGAGCCTGGGTGGCACAGTACGTTAAATGTCGGACTCTTCATTTCAGCTCCAGTCGTGATCTCAGCATCATGAGATCCTGCCCCATGTCAGGCTCCATGCTCAGTACAGAGTCTGCTTAAGACTCTCTCTCCCTCTGTCCCTCCCCCCTGCTTTCCCTTTCTCTCTCTAAAATAAATAAATAAACCTTTTTTAAAAAATCAGTAGGCAATTCCACCTTTTAAAAAAACTTCGGGTGAGGGCACTTGGGTGGCTCAGTCGGTTAAGCGTCCACCTTTGGCTCAGGTTATCATTCCTGGGATCTGGTCCCGCAACAGACTCCTTCCTCAGCAGGAGTCTGCTTCTCCCTCTACTCCTCCCCCCTGCTAGTGATCTCTCTCTCTCTCTCTCATGCTCTCTCTCAAATAAATAAATAAAATCTTAAAAAAAAAACAAACAAAAACTTTGAGTGACTTCACAACGAATAATAACAGTAGAATGATCAATACTGGGTCATTAACTGTAAAAAAAATGTTACCTGTATGCTAATGTAAGATGTTAATAATAAGAGAAACTGGATATGGAATCTATGGAAACTCCTTCTACTACTCTTATTTTTTTTGTAAATTTAAAACTGTTCTAAAAATTTAAGTTTATTTTTTTAATTGATTTTTTTTTTAAAGATTTTATTTATTTATTTGAGACAGAATGAGAGAGAGAGCACATGAGAGGGGGGAGGGTCAGAGGCAGAAGCAGGGAGCAGGGAGCCCGATGCGGGACTCGATCCAGGGACTCCAGGATCATGACCTGAGCCGAAGGCAGTCGCTTAACCAACTGAGCCACCCAGGCGCCCTTTAAGTTTATTTTTTTAAAAAGTTGATAATTGGAAATAAGAACTACCTTATTGGGGTACTGGGGTGGCTCAGTTGGTTAAGGGACCAGCTCCTGACTTCAGCTTGGGTCATGATTTCAGGGTTGTGGGGTTGTGGGATTGAGCCCCGGGTGGGGCTCTGTGCTCAGTGGGGAGTCTGCTTGAGATTTTTCTCCCTCCCTCCCCACCAGCTAAAATAAATAAATAAATCTTTAAAAAAATAATAACTATCTTATTTACATGTCAAATCTCCACAAAAAGAGAAAGCTCATAAAAACTGAAATCTTTCCCCAGAAAATTGGATCTCAGTTTGTTTCAAAGGCTAAAACTGGAATGTAGTCTATCACTAGTTGGAAATGGGAAAACTTTATTGAAATGTTTGGAGATAAAACATTTAAAGAACAATACTCTTAAATTTAGAGAGGTTGAGATCAGAATATTAAAGTTGCAAACTATGGAGTTCTTTCACCCACATACAGGGACCCCTTTGCAGAAAGAGCTTCTCTTTGGGGCAAGTTCAACATCTTTACTACTTTCTTTTACAACAAATAATTCTATCAAACGGCAGACTAAGTAAGGCTTCAGAAGCAGATGGCACTGTAGATTTTTCAATTTTCCATCTCATTCTTTCCTTTTTAGCTCCTGGTGGAGTTGAAACACAAACAATAGGGGTGAACCTACCTCTGCAAAGAGCTCTAGAAACACACAATTGAGTCATTTCGGTGATCACCAATTTCATCAACATTCCATTAAAATCAACTCTGTGGCTAAGTACACAGCCTGATAGATCCTGCAATTAGGATTTTTAAGTACATCTTTAAATTATACCCTCCCACTTGTCCAAATTATTTACATTTGTTATTAGTTTGAGCTTCTGAGCACTCTGCATGTAGAAAGAATCTTACTAACAGGAAGCTGTGATCCTGAATTCTTATTTAAAAGAAAATTATAGCATTAATATTTTTTAGCATTGCTTGATTAAAGAGAATCAGGTCATTTGCACTGGAGACAATGGTGGTAAAAATTAAAGCAGGATGAGTCTTTAGGAGACCCATAGGAAAATGCTGGCTCTCAGGATATGTAATGCTGACTTAGAAGAGTTAAAGCAGTCTAACAGGCTAGAGCCCTACTTGGCTGGTTCTGTACTACACTAGCACAAAGCCTAATCTTTAGTGATTGCTCATTATCATTTAATAAAAAGACTTTTTAGTTATTCCATTTCAAATCAAAGTATTAAGGTAAGTGTGTCAGAGAACAACACACAAGAGGCACTAAGCCCCAACTACCAGGGCGCCTGGGTGGCTCAGTCATTAAGCGTCTGCCTTCGGCTCAGGTCATGATCTCAGGGTCCTGGGATGGAGTCCCACGTCGGGCTCCCTGCTCAGTGGGGAGTCTGCTTCTCCCTATCCCTCCCCCCTCCCACTCTCTCTCTCTCTCTCTCATTTTCTCTCTCTCTCTCATAAATAGATAAAATCTTAAAAAAAAAAAAAAAAAACAAACAACCAACCAACTACCTGTTCAGTAATTCATGATTTTAAGGTTTGGAGCACGGAGGTCCCAAATGACAGGCTGATGGAGTAAAGAGGTAGGAAGGAACCAATATTCAGATGTTCTGTTTGGACAAATTAAAAAAAAAAAAAAAAAAGCTAGGGACTTTCTGGAATGAAGGCATTCCCTAAGAGCAGTTTTTCCTTTTTAAACCTTCCCCCTCAATCCTAATCCTCTTCACCTTTCCCCATATGCTTTTTTCCCTTTTCTTTTTAGTTTTTAACTACCCTATGTAGAAAATGTAATGTGTTTTTAGGGTTGCTGCCTCGAACCTTTTTTGGTAAGTTGCTAGTCAACAATTAGAAACTTTTTACATTTAGTCCAAGACAGGAAAAAGATACACTTAATGAAATGAAGTGTTACATGCTTCAATAAGACACAAAGCAAGAGCAGGAACTGTTACCCACAGGACTAAGGAAACCAAATTTTTTATCTCAAGAATTAAATAGACAAAATTGATTATTTTAAATTGTTTTTAAAAGGCATGCTAGCTCATGGGGCGCCTAGGTGGCTCAGTCGGTTAAGCAGCTGCCCTTGGCTCAGGTCATGATCCCAGGGTCCTGGGATCGAGCCCCGCATCGGGCTCCCTGCTCCTCAGGGAGCCTGCTTCTCCCTCTCCCTCTGCCTGCCTCTCTGCCTGCTTGTGCTCTCTCTCTCTGTCAAATAAATAAATAAATAAAATCTAAAAAAAAAAAAAAAAGGCAAGTAAGTATAAGGGAAACAAGTCTGACCACATTTTCTCACTTTTTCCCTTCTCATGAAAGTCTTCTTGGGGGTAAAATTTCAGTTTTTAATCCAAGGCTCCTTATTCTATTGCTGTTTCAAAGAGAATTAAAGTAACACCATAGTGAATAAGTTATTTCCACTTCAGGGAGTTTTGTGCTTTAGCATCAAGTTCCATGATGGGTCTAAAAGTACTCTGCCAGTTAGTGGCAGAACTAGGATCCAGACTTCCGGACTCCCAAGTTCCAGAGATCTACCCACTATTTATTTATTCCACAAATACTTACTGAGCACCTAACAATGTGCCTGGCACTATTTTAGGTGTTTAGGGTGTATCAGTGAATAAAACAGGCAAACATCCCTGCCTCGGAGAGTTAATTCACAGTGGCTGTGAGGCACACACTCTTCCTAACAGTATTATTACATTTTTATAGATGGTCCTTTCCTCTATTATAAGTGTTTTAAAGGGGGGGGGGAGTACTTATCTCCTAACATACACCTTCTTCTATGTAAGTAAGTAATCTCTTTTATCACTGCCACACCATCCCAGCCCTGTGGATTCCAAGGCTTAAAATAGACAAGCTCTCACAGAAACCTCTGATAGAGTTAGCACCTTCTCCGGCTGGAAACTTCCTTCAGTGCCGGTTTCCTAAACTTAAAAGCACCGGTGGGGGTGGGAGTTCCCTTCAAAGACATCACTGCACTAACCGAGGAGGAAGAGACCACACTTTCCACACCGTCTCTGCACACACCCAGTTGTTCATCGACCTCGGTTCCTTTCTCTCAACCGCGCCCCTCAATCGCTAGGCTCCCCACCCAGCTACCCCATTTACAATCCTACATGTCACCCACCAAAAGCCCACTCTCCATAGTCCACCGGGACACTAACATCCTTCTACATCCCTTTCCCTCCCCGCCCCCGGAACAATTTCTCCGTAAGAAATAAGTTCGTCCCGCATTTCCTAACTGCCACGTCCCAAATACAACACCTTGCCTTTGCTTCAAGGCGCTTCCCCTTCTATCCCTCGATCCTCAGGAGAGTTCTGGGGTGGGCAGGGGTTGGCGCGAGACCAAATGTAGAGAGAAGCGGCCAGCCTGCTACTCGGGGCCGGGACAGGGTAGAGGCGTGCGAGGCGCGTAGCGCGCAAACGTGAAGAGGCACTCCGCTCGCGCTGGACCCCGAAGTGAGTGCCCCTTTCATTCTGAGCCTAGGAACCTCCCTCGCCTCACCTTGGTCCCAGCCCTCCTTTTACTGCCACCCCTCCCTCAACACCCCCCAAAGTCATCACAAACAGCCCCCGCGTGTAGCCCTCCCAGTGCACAGCCCCAAGTCCCTGGGAGTCCACCTCGCTAACGGCCCCCACAGGTGCCACCGCCCACCCGCGCCCTCTCCGCTCCGGGGCTCCCGCCCACCCGGCCCACCCCGCCCTCCAAGGGAGTCCCCATCCCCGGGCCCGCCCCCGCCGCTCCTCCCCCGGACACACCGCCCGCCCTCCCTGCCTCAGACGCGGTCCTCGCCGGGGGCTCGTTCGTCCCATCGCCCCCTTTCCTCCAGCCCTCGGACGGGGAGGGGGCGCCCCGCTACCCCCGGCCAGGCAGGCAATGTGTCCCTCCGCTTCCTCCCAATTCTCTGACCCCTTCGCCTCTCCCTCCCTCAGGCCACGGGTGGCGAAGTGCCGAGGCCGGGCCCCACCGCCCGGCCCGGGCTTGTTTACTCACTCACCCTCCATCCCGAGCCGCAGGGACCCGCCGCTAGGACGCCTGCGCGCCGCGGCCCCGCCCCCGCGCCGCGGCCCCGCCCCGCGCCTCCTCCCGGCGCCTGCGCACTGCGCCGCCCGCGCCCCGCCCGTGGGGCCACCTGGGCTTCCTTCCTCGCACGTCTGTCGTTTGGCGCCAGTACTCCGAACTCAGGAGTGCCAGGTGATGCGGTCCGAGCCGGACGGTTTCCAAGGCGGCGCTGTCAGGGGACAGGAAGGGCTCTCGGGGAGCCTCCCAGAGCTACTAATATCTTCTTGGAGACCCTATCCAGCGGTTGCACCATCTTCACAGGCTGGCGTCAAGCCACGTTTCACTTCAGCATTTGGAACCAACCCGGAACCCCTTCATCCTGATCCCTCACACCTACCAATACCTCCAAACACCCGTCTACGAGCTCTAAATTATCCTTCTTGCTTTATTTACACCCGGCTTCCCTATTTTGTCAAAAGTTTTCCCAGTCACTTAGATTCAAATGAATAGCCTTGTATCAAAGTATCTCCTCACAAGATACCTATAAGTTACAAAGGAAAAAAAATAGTAACTTTACAGGACTGAAAGCTGGCAGACATCACCTTAAGCAAGTGGTCAAAGTTAACATCACCTTAAAATTAAAAACAAAACAAAATTAACATCACTAGTGATGAGAGATGGTTTTATTAGGTGCCCCTCCGATATGATGCAATGAGAAGGGCACAAAATCCCTTCTGTAGTATTCTTGAAAAAAATGCATAAGCTGAATTTAATCATAAGGAAACATCAGACAAATCCAAAATAAGGGGCGATCTACAAGATAACTGGCCAGCATCTTTAAAAATGTGATGGTCATGAAAAACAGAAAGAGTGAGGGGGCACCTGGGTGGCTCAGTCGGTTAAGCAGCTTAGGTCATGATCCCAGCGTCCTGGGATTGAACCCCAAGTTGGGCTTCCTGCTCCGAAGGGAGTCTGCTTCTTCCTCTCCCTTGGCCTGCCGCTCCCCCTTCTTGTGCTCCCTCTCTCTCTCCATCAAAGAAATAAAATCAGAAAGAAAGAAAAAGAAAGAAAGAAAGAGAAAGAAAGAAAGAAAGAAAGAAAGAAAGAAAGAAAGAAAGAAAGAAAGAAAGAAAGAAAGAAAGAAAGAAAGAAAGAAAGAAAGACTATCTCAGATTGGAGGAGACTAAGGAAACAGGACAATTAAATGTAATGTGTGATTGTGTGATTCTGGATTGAATCCTGGTCGAGAAGAAGGACACCAGTAGGATAATTGATGAAGTTAGAATAAGGTCTGTAGACTAGTTAAAAGTAGTTTATCATCTCAGTTCCTGGTTTTGGCAGTTGTACTTCCTCAACATTTGAGGAACTTGGCTGATGGGCATATGGGAACTGTCTACCATTTGCAATTCTTTCGTAAACCTGAAGTTACTTCAAAATATAAAATTAAAAAAAAAAACTTAAAATACAAAATAACATTACCTTGAATTTGTCTCCAAGTACATAATTACAAAAGCCTATAATGCTCATTTTTCCAGATAATCTTCATAACTCTATGAAATAGGTAGGGAGGATTTCAGTTTTATACACAAGACTATACTGGCCTAAAGAACTTAAAAGACTTGCTTTACACAGATGAAAAATTTCTCTGTCAGGGCTTAAACTCAGGTCTCTGGATTCCAGATTTAGGGTTCTTTTCCTTATACCAGAAACTTTGGCTTTGCTTTTTTTCTCTTGCCTCTGATTACCAAATCAAAGCAAATATTCCTTCATACTTAGCAATTTGCAATAATATTCCTTTCCATTCCCCCTGCCTTCTAGATCCGTGGTTTTCAAGTGTGGCTCACATTTAAATCAGCTGGGGAGCTTTATTAACTATTGATGCCTGCCTCCCACCTCCAGAGAGGCTGATTAATTTGTCTGGGGTGTGACCTGGGCTTTAAGAGTTCTAAGAGAATCCCAAGTGATCCCATTGTGTAACGAAGTTTCACAATCATTATGCCACATAAATAATCGTTGAAATAAAGAAGATAGGTTAAAAGAGGGGGAGAGAGGCAGCAGGTTAAAAAAAGGATTATCTAAGGAGAGCTGTTCAGAAGATCTGAATATCAGGACTGAGACTGGGAAGAGATATGGGAATCATCGGCTAACACCATGGGAGTGGACTGCATTGTTTTAAGAGAGTAAGCCAAGTGACAAGAGGAAAGATACAAGATATTTTGTGGTAACAAAGAATATGTGGCTACAGAAATATTTTGAAGCAGAAAGGAAGGATGGTGAGGAGGTTTACCTCAAAGTTGTAGATCAGAGTCAGGCAGCCCAGCTCAAGCTCCACCTCCTCACTAAGCCTCCCAGCCCTCCTGGATCTTCCCCTGCTTCAACCCCAGTACCACTTCATGCTCACTCCCATGCTATTAACCCTTTCCTATCCACCATGATACTTGACACAGGACTAAACCGGGCTTTAGTAATCCTTGATCACCGGAGGATTTTAAAAGCAACTTCCCACATCACCATTAAGCATGGGGTTCTTGGGGAAAATTTGTTGATTGGTTCTTCCTCATTGTGATGGGAGAGAGTTTTGTTTTTGTTTTTGTTTTTCTGAGACCAGGCTCTTCTTTAAAGATTATGGTCCATGACACACTATCGGCCAATGTTTGTTTGGCCAGCTCTTCCTCTATAACTTTTTTTCCCAACCCTTCAGGTCTTTGTCCTATAAATTCATAGAAAAACTGTTGGCAAGTAGTTTGCAGCTGGACCTTTGAAAAACAGTACCATCACCCCTGCCCCACTCCTCCCAGCCCCACCCCCAGGCAGTTAATAGGAGAAAGGAATAACTGTGTCACTCCTGGCCTCCAGTTGCTCATCTTGCTCTTAGCTTGGAGGCCTCTGGGGCCGAAAGAAACTGGACAAAGTGTGCTGAGGAGCCTAATAGGGCTGGTTCTTTTTCTGAAAGTTCCTTATTGCGGAAAAATAAAATTATGTGTTTAATTTCTGTAACCTGATGCCTGATTTGCCTTGGCAGCCAGTCTCCCAGGCTTGGCCGAGAGTCCAGCAATACTACTGATTAATACCAGCTCAACTTGCTCCCCAGAGAAGAAGAGCATTATTTACTTGACCATTTTCTTAAATCTCTTTTAATTTGCATGTATTTTAACATGATTTTATTGGCTTTAACATGCTGTATCTGACCAGTGGCCCCGGTGAAGCCTTGGGGAAGACTGTTCTGCTCTGTGCACTCACATCCTCATCACAAAACAAGATTTTGTTCAATCCAGTGATTAGAAATGACACGTCGTGTGTTCTGTTCCTTTTGCGGCTGTCGAGTTCTAAATGTACTTTTGTCTCCTGCTGGTCTTCAGGCCACTGGTAGAAAGGGAAGAAGATGATGCTTCCCAGAATTCAAAACAGTGCTTTCTGCACTATTCCTGTCTCCCTTCCAACCTTCCTCCATTCCTCCTTCCAGGTCCCTTTGGATGGTGACCCCTGGGCTCGTTCGGCCCCTCCCTTGTAAAGCCCACAGGGAGATCAAATAGCGTTTCTCTGAGGGGACACAGGGGACCGAGGAAAGGTTGGGCCCCAGACAGTGCTTGACAGGGAAGTGTAAACACAGCTGCAGAGATGGGAGCAAACTCTCCTCCCTCCTGCCTCCCCGGTCCCCGCCTCCCCCCTCCCCCAGTTCCCACCCAGAAGTAAGGAAAGGCCACCCTGCTGTGGAGAAACAAACAACAAAACAAAGCAAAGCACAACCTAAAAGCCTGCGTGAAGGTCACCAGAAACTGGGGCTGCTGCCCAGGCCTTGGTGGGGCCAGCTGAAGTGCCAGACCCCTCCCTGAATACTTAGAGGCAAAGGAAGCTCCAAAGCAAGTTGAGGTCTGGACATTACTGAGCCTGGAAACATGGCTCAATTTTTAAAGCCTCTCCACTCCTGGACACTTTGTCCTCTGATCTCAAAAACACAGCTTTCCGCCCCAGGTACTTAGCTCCTGACCCCTAGTTGCATAGGGATCATAATAATGCATTCAATTCAGCAAGTAAGAACAGGCCCACAATAAACCCTTGTTCGTGGCTGTTATAAGTTTAAACTCTGAGCCTCCAAGCCAAAATTTAGAATGGGCCTCCTTAGCCTTTGTTAATTACAAAATAAATAATTCCAGCAGGAAGGGACTTTCTCTTTTGGGGATTACTTGGGTGGGATTCATGCCTTGCTTTGCACATAGTCTGAAATCTCCAACCCCACAGCTAGGGTGGTGCTGCCCGTTCTTGCTCCCTTGGCACAGTGAATGCAGGGCCTTGATCTCACGGGACACGCCTTTGGCACAGCCTTGCCTGGGAAGTAGCCCTGATCGGGTGGACAGCTAATGAGCTGTGCTTCCTTTCCGGCCATCAGGGTCCTCAACTGTAAAACTGCAGAACTAGAAAAGTGATAATAGCCTTCAGACGCTGTCCATTCAGTATGTGCCCCGCACTGTGCTGAGTGCTTTACAACATGTCATCTCATTTCATGTGAAGTCAGTAGTATCCTTATCCTCATTTTACAGCTGAGAAAACTAAGGCTTAAAGAGATTCTGGAACTTGCCCAAGGTTATCCAGCTGGTAAGTGGTGTGGCCGGGATTTGGGTCCAGTCATTCTGATCCCCAAACCCATGTTCTGAACCCCATCCCTCTACCTCCTCCTTTCTCTGAGATCTAGCTCTGATATCATTCTCTCCATGGCTTTCTGTTCTCACCAGTGGCGCCAGAAAGAGAAATGTGTTTGGGACTCTGCAAATTCAGAGGAAAACAGTTCCTGAAGGGTAAGGGGCTCCTTACTCCCTGTGTGCTGGAGATGCCAATCAAAGCCAGACACTCGACAGACCCCCATATCAGTAGGGAACAGTCTGTGTGAAAGACAAACAAATCCTAACCAGACAGGAAGGGAGAGTTCCTCTTGTTTCTGTAACTTCCCCTTCTCTCTTCCCTGGCTTATCAGCAGGGTCCCACACTGCTAATGCTATGACCCTTTGAACCCCACTCTAGCTAGGATGGCATACCAGGCTACAGAGATGCTTTTGGAGCAAGAAAAGTACATTACACACATCTACAGATTATATCCATGACACTGTACATAAAGGAACAAACATAAATCGCATTTATTTACATATTTAACAAATCACCTTTAACATTCATGTAATCACTAGACATTGGACTGGGTGTGAACCTACATTATTTTGTGTAATCCTTGCAGATGCCTGAGAGGTGGGCATTGTTAGCCCCATTTTACAGAGAAGAGCATTGAGACTCAGGGAGATTGATAACGTTGGCCATGGCCACACGGCTGGTAAGTACGAGGGCTGGAATTCTATAGGGCTCCAAAGACTATATTCTTTTTTTTTTTTTCATAAGATTTTATTTATTTATTTGAGACAGAGAGAATGAGAGAGACAGAGAGCACATGAGAGGGGGAGGGTCAGAGGGAGAAGCAGGCTCCCCGCCGAGCAGGGAGCCTGATGTGGGACTCGATCCCGGGACTCCAGGATCATGACCCGAGCCGAAGGCAGTCGCTTAACCAACTGAGCCACCCAGGCGCCCCTCTTTTTTTTTTTTTTTTAATATTTTATTTATTTATTTTGACAGAGAGAGAGAGACAGCGAGAGAGGGAACACAAGCAGGGGGAGTGGGAGAGGGAGAAGCAGGCTCCCGGCCGAGCAGGGAGCCCAATGTGGGGCTCGATCCCAGGACTCTGGGATCATGACCTGAGCCGAAGGCAGACGCCCAACGACTGAACCACCCAGGCACCCCTCCAAAGACTATATTCTTTTAAATAAGAGGAGTGCTGTGTCATGAAAAGAACAAAATTATAGAACTGGAAGGATCCCAGAATATCTTGGAAATGCAGTTGTCATAAGTATATATGTTACACACTATGCCAGTAAATACCATTTATCACATGCTTACTAGCACCGGACATTCGTTCAAATGCTCGACTTGCATTATCTTTACTGATGAGTGAGATACACACAGGTAACCCCATTTTGCAGATAAGAAAATATGTTCAGAGGAGTTAAGTACTTGCACATGGTCACATACAGCTAAATAAGTGATGGAACTGGGATCCAAACTCAAGTCCACTTGACTCCAAAGTGTGCCACTAAGGTAATGGAAATCATCATCATCATCGTAAATAATAATAATAATATCCTGCTCTAAGTGCTTTATATCTTATAACTTGTAAGTATTTTTATTATCCCCATTTTGCAGGTGAGGAAAATACTGCCTTTTGTAGTATTACTTAAGCTCACATCACAGATACCATACATGTTAAACAAACATATACTCCTACTGTCATATTTGCTTAACACATGTTGGATGTTATGATCTAGAAAATGTTTTCTTTCATAACGTCATGAGTGTTTTTCATTGTCCATCCAATGCTTTCAGGTCTTGGAGAAAAGAATGTGAAAAGATACTGTCTAGGGGCGCCTGGGTGGCTCAGTCAGTTGAGCGATTGTCTTCGGCTAGGGTCATGATCCCGGCGTCCTGGGATCGAGACCCGCAACAGGCTCCCTGCTCAGCGGGGAGTCTGCTTCTCCCTTTCCCTCTGCCTGCCTGTCTGCCTACTTGTGATCTTTCTCTCTCTCTCTCTCTGTCAAATAAGTAAATAAAATCTTAAAAAAAAAAAAAAGATACTGTATATAAACGAAGCAGGCATAGTTGCAAGAGGGAAATCACTGAGAGGAGAAGCCCCACCCCCCACGCCCTGGTGCCATGAGAAATTCTGTTTGGTTGCCCTTCTGGCTGGTCTTCTCCATCCCTTTCTATTTGGTTCTCTCTAGCAGGTTGGCTAGCCAGTTGGCATCCATCAGGTATTGTGGAGCAGAGGTTAAGGACTTAGGCTTCAGCATCAAGATCTGGATGTCTGCCAATAAGAGTTGCATGAGCATGGGCAAATTACTTAATCTTTCTGAGCCTCAGTTTCCTCATCTGTAAATCTGTACCTAATTTGTTCATTTTTATTTTTCTGAAGATTATTTATTTATTTATTTATTTATTTATTTATTTATTTAACAGAGAGAGACATGGCAAGAGAAGGAAACACAAGCAGGGGGAGTGGGAGAGGGCGAAGCAGTCTTCCCGCTGAGCAGGGAACCCGAGGCAGGGCTCGATCCCAGGACCCTGGGATCATGACCCAAGCTGAAGGCAGACGTTTAATGACTGAGCCACCCAGGCGCCCTATGGCACTTAATTTAATAGAGTTGTGAGTTTTAAATGAAACAATCTGAGCATACTCCAGGCACGCTGGGGGCATCCCCATGTTACGTAACATCAAAACTCTTGGGGTGTTGGGAGTGGGTAGAAGGGTTCCTGGGGATGGTTTCATAGCATAGTCCTGAGCAATGGAGGAAGAGTGAAAGCAACCCTGGCATCTGGCATTGGGTCCTGACAGCAACCATGAGTCAGCCCCAGGTGTCGAGGGACCAGCAGTGTTCTCAGCACTGCTGGGCGTGTGCTATGGTCACTTGGCCATGATCTTCTTCAATCATGCTGTCTGAATATCATCCTTATAAATCTGGTCTGGTTTTTTTTTTCTTTTCTTCTTCAGAAAAACAGCCTCCACCATGTGATGTCATGGTCTAGCCTGGGTCAGAGAAGGAAGGGAGGAGAAGGTTGTGTGTAGAGTTGGGTGAAACAGGATCTTTTTATTTCTGGAGGGGTTTATCTGGTCCTGGAAGAAACTATCCTTCTCTCCTCTTTCAACCCCATCTTCAAGACCCAGTAAGAAATCAGTATTTGGATATAGAGTGAGAAGTAGATGATAAATCATAATGCTTAAGACGTGAAGCTTAGGGGCGCCTGGGTGGCTCAATTGGTGAAGCATCTGCCTTCAGCTCGGGTCGTGATCTCAGGGTCCTGGGATTGAGTCCTGCATCAGGCTCCAGCCTGCTTCTCCCTCTCCCTCTGCCTGCCGCTCCCCCTGCTTGTGCTTTCTTTTTTTTCTCTCTCTCTGTCAAATAAATAAATAAAATCTTAGGGAAAAAAAAGGACATGAAACTTAGCATCAAGCAGTCCTGAGTTCAAATCCTGACTGCCAATTACTACCTCTGGGACCTTGGGCACATTACTCCTGTTTCCCCATTTTACCCACTGACAAGATAATTCTGATGTTATGGTAGTAAGGTTTTAAGAAATACTTGCAAAGCACTCAGCACATGTGTCAGAGAACACAATTACACGTAGTAATTATTCAATAAATGGTAGCTACTATTAAGTCCCTGGCATTGATGAGGAATATGGCTTGACCATTTTCTCTGTTTTTTACCAACTTGAGAGCCAAAGTTTTCTCCAATAACCATTCTTGCCTCTGAGAGATGGCCAGTCTCCTCACGCGGAGTGTGACATCATTCTGGAGATGAGGAGATGGAGAGAGATGGAGTTGCCTTTGTCTTCCCTCCCTTAGCTAGCTGGCTCCCTGACTATAGATAGCTCTTCTGGTCATCCCTGCTGCCTCCCTGCCCTCTAAAGAAATCTGTCTCCTCTCTCCAGCTTGGAAGGATCAGCCCCTCCCAGCCAGGACTTCTGGACCCTGACTCTCCCCCACATCCTCTCCTGTGCTCTGTTCTTTATTTGGAAACAGCTGGGGAAGAGGCCAGCATGTGTGAATGTCTCTACACTGTAGAGATGGTAATCCCAGGATGCTCTGCATGCAATTTCATTGTGTAGGAGGCCCCCAGTGCTTTTTACCCACCCCCCCCACCATGTTGTTCTGAATTTGTGTGTGAGTGTGTAGGGGGAAGGCTGAAGATTAGAAATGGCACTCCTAAGGTTTGAGTCACCTCTCCTCTTGCTTCAGGCAGGATGTTCCTTTGCCTGTAACAAGAAGGGAAATTTATATGGCAGTAGGATTCCCACGCAGAAGTCAATCTAGTTTGGGGCCAGAAATCTCAGGTCAATGTCCAGCTGGACTAAAACTAGATTCCTCTCTTCCTGAGCACTAGGAGTGGGTGTGGGATAGGGACAGAGGACTAAGGAGGTGTGTAGGAAACAAAGAGCAGTCTCCACTGGATATAAGACAAAGGCTACAGATAATACTATACTACAGGTAAAAGGAAAGAAGCACATCTATATATGCTATCGTGAAAAGAAGCCCAAGACATATTATTAAGTAAAAAAAGAAGTCACCGAACAACAGAGATATTAAATCCCATTTATGCTTTTTTAAGTCCAAAAAATGTAGGGAAGTGAGTGAGAAAGGAATGAGGGTATAAAGTTTTCTGTGTTTAAATATTTTGCAATGAGTATATACTTGTGTATTACTTGCAATTAAAAAGTATATTTTTATAGCAAAAAGTATATATTTTAAGGCAGAAGTGGGCTTAGGAAGGGAAGGGAAGGGGGACCCCAGGGGTGGAAAACAGGACTTCCATAAAAGAACCAGCTTCTATCCCTGATGAAGCCCTTCTCTGTCCCCTCGCTGCACAACATGGGACTATCTTCTATATGGTAACTTGGAAGAGGAAAGTGAGGTCTCTGGTCCCCTTTCAGCCCCAAAGGACCCTAATAGCAGACCCCCAGTTACCAGGATGCCCCCAGGGGTCCATGAAACAGCCAACCAATCAACTGGTAAGGAAAAGTGGAAAGAGGAAAATCAGGGGGAGGGAAAATTCCCAGATTTTCCAACAGGAAGGTTTAGACTCCCAAGTTCAGCAATGACTACAACAAGCTCCCTTTAGGAGGCCTCCACATCATGTTGCAAACTTAACCCCATGTCCAGGCTAAAGATAACACTTTCTACGGAGTCACCTATATGTTACCTTTTGACTCTAATGTCATGTGAAATTGTTGAGCTCCAGAGATATGAAATGACGGGCCCAAGATGACACAGCAACACAGAGACAGAGTCTGCCTTCAGAATCCTAACCAGTGCTTGCTTATTTGTTTTTATCAATGATACCATACTGCCCTATTTAAAACCCAACGTTTGTTTTTGTCAACTTTCATCTTGACCCCAACCCCAGTCCTAATTCACAGTGGGCTCAGGTGTTTCTGGCCCCAGCCCAGTGGAAATGGCTGGTTTTGTTTTCTGTCCCTCCATGTTTCTCCCTCCCATCTCATCAACCAGAAATCTCCCTCCTGACCATGTTTCCGTCTTGAAAAGGGCAATCTTGGGTGGGAGGACACGAATGGATTTAGTCATTGGCCTAAAATGACTCTGAGGCTGTCTGGCTCTTTTGTGCACATTGCAGAAGATGACTATCACCAGGAGGGCTTTGGGGCTCATGCCAAGTGGGCCACCTCCTTTCTTCTTCCAGATGCCTTACTAAGGCAACCTCTTGACCCTAGCGATGGAGGAGGACTACAGGCTTTCAGTGACCATTATGCAAGAGCCTAAGACCCTGAGGTGAAGATTTGAAGAGATCACGAAGGATGATTTGTGGTGGGCAGAAATCAGTAAACTGGGACAAGAGCAGCAGCTGAGTCCAGGGGTCAGTGTCTGGGAGTAATTTAGGAAAGTTCAGTGCTGACAGCTGTGTCTGGAGCCGAGCATCAGGGCCAAACCAGCTCCTGGGCTGCTCGGCTGCCTCAAGCTAATGAAGCTCTGGCTTAGGACACAGAGACAGCTGTGGTGTCGCAGAAGTCAGGGCCCCTGGGGCCCCAGGCTCAGCCTGCTGCTTCCCAGCAGTGTGACCTTAGGCAAGTCCTTAAGAAAGAAGAAAAGGAAACATCCACTAAGTGCAATGCCCTTTCACGTGTCATCCTCACTACTGCTTATGGAGGATAATGTCCCTATCTTACATGGGGAGAAACAGATTGTCAAGGTAACCAAAGTCATTCTGGGCTATCTGGTTGTGGAGCAGGAAGACAGAAGTGGGATTTAGAGCTTCTGAGCTCAAGTTCTGGGCTCTTTTCCCTGAGTTTTAGCTTTTTTCCCTGTAAAATGGGAACAAAAACGTACCCACTTTGTGAATGAAGTCACCCATAGTAGGTTCTAAACCCTTCCCTTCTCACAACCTTGTCCTTGAAGAGTAGTGGCCACCTTCTTCCTGGGAATGGAGTAATCTTTAACTTTTGCCCCTCCTCCCCAATCCGGTTTGTGGCCACCTTCTTAGGAGGAATAAAGTAATCTTACTTTTGCCCTTCCCCCCAACCAGGTTTGTGGATCCAGGCCCCACAAGGTGCCTGGAAGAGAGGGTATTTGGACTCTGGTTTCCCCTCTGCCCCTATCCCCAGACCTTCTCCCGACTCTGGAGGGCTGGCTCCCTCATCTCCTCCTCCCCAGTTTTGGCAGGCGGACTGACATCAGTGGGTGTTCCCAGGGAAGGGGAACTCTGAGCCCAGCTCCAGGCGCCCCTTCCCCCACGGCCCAGGGCAGCCCCAACCCCCTGCCTTAGATACTGCGGCGTGGAGAGGCCCTCTGAACTCCCAGTCCCTTCCTTCTCCTCGCGGTCCGCGAGAGCAGGTCGCTAACCCCCTTCCTCGGCACCGCAACGAAGGAGAAAGGGCGATAGGGTCCCGGGAGCGGATGCTCGGAGACCCGGGCGAGTCCTGGGCGCCACGCGGCTGAGCCCAGGAAATGCATCCCGGTTCTGGGGTTACGAGGGGAGCTGTCCAGCCCCGCAGGGTGAGCTAGAAGACAGAGTGGGCCAACGTCGACCCGGCGGAGGGAGCGGCGGGCGCCAGGGCCGGGTGGGGCAGCGACTCCCCCTCCAGCCCGCCGGCCCCGGGCGTCGCCCCCGCCCCCCACGTGGCCGCAGCCGTCCCAGCCCCTGCGAGGAAGCGGCGCGGCTTCCTGGGGCTTGGGCCGGGGATATAGGCGCCCCCGCCCGGGCCCGGCTCAGCGCCACCGCCCCTCCTCGCCTGCTCGCCGCGCGATGGCCTCGGTCCGGGCTGAGCGCGCCGCCGGCGGCCCGCGGCTCCCTGCGACCCGCGCCCGGCGACCGGCTGCGCTCCGCCTCCTCCTCCTGCTGGGCGGTGAGCGCTGCGCCCCGGGGCCCGGGTGGGAGGCGCGGGAGGCCCGGAGGGGAGGGGGGCTGGACGGCCGAGGCCGAAACGGGCCCTGGGGTGCGGGCGGGACAGCGCTGTCCTCGGACCGTCCCCGGCCCCACTTCGGTGAGGGCTCAGCGCGAGCTGCTTCCCTCTTGGAGGAACCTGGGGTGCCGGGGCCCCGCGGAGGGGTCTTGGGAGGTCTGGGGCTGGGGAGGAGGAAGAGGATTTGGGGTGTAGATGTGAGTGGGAGAGAGCTAGTATCAGACCTCTCTTCCAGTCACTGAGGCACCCCTTGGGGGCCTGGATTATTCCTTTTTCTCTTCTGAAAGTAACCCTGACTTCCTAGGGTCTCAGATCCCTCCTCCAGACTCCACTGCTTAGATCCCGCCATCCCACCTCCCTCTCCGATTTCTGTTCACAGCTGTCCTGAAGCCCCAGGAGTCCCTGGCTCAGGTTCCTCCCACTGAAAGTAGTTTGAAGACAAAAGGTGTGTATTCCACGGCTCTGGGAGGGTGGCCTAGGGCAACGAGAGGAGAGCCAGGTCGGAGGGGAGGGTCCCTTTCCCACAACCCCAATTGGCAGCCCATTAAACCCCCCTTCTGTTCTCTCCTGGGGTTCCTTGTGGTCCTTCTCCCTCTCATCCCACATGACCCCCACCCAGCTCTGAGCTGGCTCACCTCACAGGTGGGTTAGAAGACCCCAGAAAAAGTGTGTGGATGTCCTTGTGGGGCTGGCACATGGAAGGCATTAACATTTTTCTGAACTGAGACTCTTTCCTTGGAAAACTTTCTGAGACTCTTCTGGTGTTTGCCATGTTTGAAGACAGGAACAGTGGAAATACCTGGACCCGAGGGCTTGGAGGGAGGGGCAGGGGTGTGGTCAGTGTGAAGCAATCTGTGCCCACAGAGGACAAGATGGAGAACTATGAGAGGACTATCCAGTTTTGCTGGCAATCTTATAAGGAGCAGATGGACTCTATCCCCAAGGATTGGTGCGACTGGGCCATGATTAGCAGGTAGGGGCAGTGCCTGGCAGCTTGGGCCAGGGGTGGGGCCTGCTCCTTGTGGGTGGGCCTTGAGTGAGTGTGGGGCATTCCCCTCTCTGGGCCCAACCCATACTCACTCTAGTCTTCCCTTATTCCCAGGCCTTATAGCGACCTACAGTATTGCTTGGAGCATTTTGCAGAAGTATTTCACCTGGGCTTCCCCAATCCCCGAGCAGAAGAGATCATCTTTGAGACTCACCAGATCCACTTTGCCAACTGCTCCCTGGTGCAGCCCACCCTATCAGACCCCCCAGAGGATGTGCTCCTGGCCATGATCATAGCCCCAATCTGCCTCATCCCTTTCCTCGTCACCCTTGTGGTGTGGAGGAGTAAAGACAGTGAAGCCCAGGCCTAGGGTGGTGTGAGCTTTTCTTCGCAGCCATCTTATCCTACTTCTTTTCCCTGCCACCACCAGGTCTCTGTTCCCCTCCCTGCCCTGCCTCCTTCTCTCACTCCCATGCCCACCACAGATCCTTGGACTGGTGGAAATGGAAACCCAGTGGTGTCATGGCATAAGTTCTGTAATCTTCAAAATAAAACTTTTTTTTGTACTGTCCCCTCCCCATCCCAGAATTTCTGCCATTCTCACAGCTCTGGGCCGCAGAGCTGGAAGAATCTGGATAGCAGCACTGTTTTGTTCACTTGCCTGCTCCCCACTATCCCCCTCCCCCCACCTGAAGGCCACCCCCTCCACTGCTTCCTCCCAAGGCTGGGCCTTTCCTGTCCTTATCCAAAGCCAGCACCAGGAAACATACAGGAAAGAGACTCCCTTCCGGTCTGGACAGCAGCTGGGGAGGTGTGGGGGGAGGGGCAAGGGTGGAATCTCTGCTGTGACTCCTGCAAGAAGGAAGGGGGACCACCCAGGAGCTCCGAATTTTCCTCTTCTTCATGCCTCAGTTTACTCCCAGGGCCTGGGAATAGGAACCATGATATGACCAAAAAGAGTCCATCCCTAAGGACCTCAGGACTGAGGGCAAGGGCAGTGGGGACTTACTCCACTAAGTTCACCACAGGACTCCCCTTCCAGGTCCCTGGCCTCATCCTATGTTGTCCTGGACCCTGGGGGTGTGGCCTATAGCCTGGCAGCACACTGCCCCCTGGTGTCCACTAGAGCTAACAGCCAGAAGATGGACATGATCTGGAAGAACCTCAAAGCTGAGGAGACTGGACCCTGGGATCAGACATCTGTCATCTCCATAGCACTCACTAGTTCTTAGCTGGAACTAAGTCAGCCCTCAGCTTCCTAAGCCATACTGATACTCCCTTAAGACACCTTCCCACTTTCTAGGGACATACCTAGTCTCTGAACTCATTATTTCATATACACTCTTACATGTTCCCCAGACAGTGAGGCCCAGTTGTTCGACAGAGGACCTTAACCTCCAGTTCTTCCAGATCATCAAAGATACAAGAGAACAACTTTGTTCTCCATAAAGACACCCAGTTATTCTTTATGGCACCTGGAGCCTCTTCAGGGACTTTTCCTCCCCCCCCCCCCCTTGCTGAAATATTTACCTCTCTGAGAACATGCATATCCATTTCCTGGGACATGCCCATCCATTCCATAGATATATACCTGTATGCTTCCTAGAATGTATCTATTCATCCTCTGAGACAGACTTCTCTTCTCAGGACATGTCTGTCTCTCTAGAGGCATGTCTGTTTCCTAGGGCATTTTAAGTTTTCACCTGAGATAAGCCTTTCCTCTGTTTCCATGAATGCATTGGTCTTCCCCAGGGATATATCTGTTCTCTTGTTGGCCCATATTTGCCTTCCTGTGTTTTACTAATATACATCAAGGGCATGCTGGTATAAGATACTGTGTATGGTATATTTTATTGGAAAAATAAGTTAAATAAGGCCTAGTTTCTGCTCTCAATGGCTTCCATCTAATAGGGCAGCTGACATGTATACAAACAAAAGCAATGGAGTGTGTGATGAGAGTCATGCAAGGGATACAAACCAAATGTTATCTAAGTGCAAAAAAATGAGGGGTCACATCTAGCTGAGGTGTGATCACAGGAGGGTGATTGTGGAGTTAGTATATGACTAGACCTTAAGATGGAGTGCATTTCCCCTAGGGAAGAGAGTAAAAAAATAGGGGTGAATTAGGAAATTATTGTAATATTCCAGGCTTGAGAAAAAGAGGACATGGGCCAAAGGAGTGATGAATGAGGAAGTAGAAAATAAAAAGTAGGAGAGATGATTAAAAACAAGGGAGGGAATCAGCAGGATTTGGAAATGAAGGAGAGGAGAGGTTAGGGCTGACTCAGGCTTTGAATCTGAGTTACTAGGACAATGATGGAAGTAATGATAGAAAATGGCTATTAGGAAGAGGAGCTGGCAAGAAGAAAAGGATGTACAATATGAGCTGCCAATAGAACAAGCTTTTATGTCCCACAGAGAGTTAGAAATGGGAGGGGTGGTGGTGGTGGTGGAAATACAGATTTAGGAGTGTTTTGCACAGAAATGCCAAGTGAAGCCATGAAAAGGATGAAAGTTCTCAAGACAGAAGGTGTATTGAAAAGAAAGCTGAGGTTAGAGTCTTAGGAAATACGCACATTTAAAGAATGAGGGGGAAATGAGACAAAGAGAAAGATCAGAGAGACAGTGGCAGAACAAGGATAAAGCAGTGCCATGGAAGCAAAGGAGATAGTGCCCTTCGAAAGAACATTATCAATTGAATGGTTCATCCATTCATGCAACAGATATTTGCTGGGCACTTTGGTAGATTGGGAACTGTGCACAATGAAGGATGGACTTGAGTGGGGGAAAGGTTAAAGATCAGATAGGAAATTGAGAGTGTGACAAAGTCAAGGAAACTGTACATATTTTCAAATACGGGTGACCTGAGCATGTTTGTCAACTAGGGGAGAGGAGCCAGAGGAAAAGAAAAGAGGGAAGATGATATACAAAGAAGTCCTAGAGGCAGTTGGAAAGGAGAGGTAAGAAGATATGCCAAAGGGTTGGTCTTGTAAAGGAAGAGTGACACTTCTTCCTTTGAGTCCAAAAGAAAGACGTAAAAGTGGAAAGGAATTCTTGTGGGAAGAATCAAGTGTGGTGACAGACAGAGGAGGAACGATCAGGAGGTTCAAAGGCTTGGCCTCAAGTTCACAAAATAGGAAGGGAATTCTGCAGAGAGAAAGAAGATGGAGACAGGTGGAATGACTTGATGAATGGAAACATTTGAAGAGTTACCTGGAGGGATGTGACAGGGAGTCAATAAAAGACAGTGCTGGGCTGCACTGAGAGCCCAGCAGTGAGGTTAGTCAGAGAACCTGGGGCTCAGCCAGCATGTTCTGTGGTTTTCTTCCAGTAATACAACTTGGCAGGAGTGAGGGGAGGGGTAGAGGAACAACAACCCTGATTTGTTAAGTGACAGCAGGTAGGCAAGCAAGGGGACAGAATGGGGTAGTCTAGGCTGGGTAAGGAGTCAAATAAGACCAAAATGGGTCTGGGGACTTGACACTAGAAAAGTGAGGACGTGAGAGATAGATGGCTGTGGTCAAAGCGGGCAGCTCTGAGTCATGGAAGCCGAAACTTTTCCAGCGATAAAAGGTACAAATGTGCTCCTACGGGTGCTGCAGGAGACCAAGGAACGGTGCGCTCGAAGGACACAGCAATTGAAGAGACTGGGGAATTGTGAGGTGTTTGTTAAATGCAACTGACACGGATGTTAATATTAAAAGCAGCTGAGCAGAGGGGGAACAAGCCTAGGCAGTTCTACTATCAAACTGTGCCGCTTTGGAGACGTCACTGCCCTTCTCTAGAGCTGAATGAGAAGACTTCTCGGGGCTCTAAACGGTAAGGATTTTTAGGATAACGGTAAGGGACTGGCTGGTCAGCAGCATCCCTCCCGCCTCTCCGAAGAGGCGTCCGGAACCTTTCTGCTGTGCTTTTTGCCCGGACGTGCCGAAGCGGAGGCCGGAAGTCCTTTGCCCGGAGGTTCCGGGTTTCCTGGGCTACTACAATGGCGATGAGTTTCGAGTGGCCGTGGCAGTATCGCTTCCCGCCCTTCTTTACGTGAGGCTCAGACCCCGAGAAGCCCCGCTGCGCCTCCCTCCCCTGCCCCGGACCCCGGGCTCAGCCCTGATGCTTCGGATGGGGAGGGGGAGAAAGGACCCGGTCGTCACCACCCTCAGTCTCCCACTTTGTCCCCCAGACGCGCCTCCGGCAAGTGCTGCCTCTCGCTCTCTCACGCCCTCTAATTCTGCGCCCCACCCCCTTCACCCGGCAGGTTGCAGCCGAACGTGGACACTCGGCAGAAGCAGCTGGCCGCCTGGTGCTCGCTGGTCCTGTCCTTCTGCCGCCTGCACAAACAGTCCAGCATGACGGTGATGGAAGCTCAGGAGAGCCCGCTCTTCAACAACGTGAAGCTACAGCGTATCCTCCCTCAGGCTCTTCCACAGCCCACACACATGCACTTCCACGCTTTCCCACATGCCCAGATTTCACACCCCGCTTCACCCACCGTAGGCAGATTCCCACCCAAACTGGACTTGGGAAAGAGCTAGTATGTGTTAGCTGACTTCCATTTCATCCCCAAACCCCAATGCAAATGCAGCCTCAAACCCTCTTGTCCTAGCCAGTGACAAGTACCCAGGTGTCATTCAGGTCTTAGAATCTCTGCCCTGAAGCCAAGTCCCAAGCTTTTCAACCCAAGCCTTTTTGACTCTGAATCTCCTGTCCTCTTACTGAGTGAAGCTCAAACTCTGGTACTACCTTTAGGAATTTTCTCCACCTACTCTCTTCCTCCCAGGAAGTAAAGGTCATTTGTTTTTGCTGCCTGATTCATACCTAAAGTATCTGTGGAGAAAGTCTGAAGGAAGGAGAGAGGACAGAGGGTGACAGATGATAGTACTGTTCATTTCTAAAGCTCTTCCCTTTAATTGGACTAGTTTTTTCCCTTCCTCCCCCCAGTATCCAGGAAATGCCAATTTATAGCCTGTTGGGGAATTGCACATATATGTATGTGGGAGGGAGAGGAAGGGGACAGATGGTTTTCAACATGACACTGGCCCTGAGAATTTTTATCCCACCCAACTCAGTCCATCAGTGCCCTTCCCTTAACTTTAAACCAGGGAAGCTCCCTGTGGAATCAATCCAGGTTGTATTAGAGGAACTAAGGAAGAAAGGTGGGTTCAGGTCCTCAGATTTCCTTATTTTTCCTCCTGCTTGGGGTTTTCCTGAGGGCAGATTGGCACAAGTTTTTGCCTTTTTTTTTTTTTTTTAAGATTTTATTTTTTATTTATTTAATTTTTTTGAAGATTTTTTATTTATTTGACAGAGAGAAACAAAGCGAGAGAAGGAACACAAGCAGGGGGAGTGGGAGAGGGAGAAGCAGGCTTCCCGCTGAGCAGGGAGCCCGATGTGGGGCTTGATCCCAGGAGCCTGGGATCATGACCTGAGCTGAAGGCAGCCGCTTAACGACTGAGCCACCCAGGCGCCCCTTTAAGATTTTATTTTTAAGTAATCTTTATAGCCTATGTGGAGCTCGAACCCACAACCTCAAGATCAAGAGTCACCCACTCCACAGCTGTACCAGCCAGGTGCCCCACAAGTATTCGCTTTTAACAACGTTTTTCTCTCCCCTGGCTTGGAGCCCATAGTGTTCTGTACAGTAGATAGTCCAATTCCCCGGGTCCTTTTTCCCTATTGGTATTCACCATTGAAATCTCTCCATCTGTGTTCTGAGACCTGGAGAGAGGTAGAAGGAGAATTGGTGCATTGCAGATGGTAATAATAAAACAGATCTTGAATTTCCGTTCCTGAAAGCTGAGTCTCTTCCACTGTGTTCCACCTTGGTTTTGCCTTCTGTCCCTTCTTAGCATAAGATGCTTTCATAAGTATCTGTTTCACAGGGAACCTGGAGTGGTTGGATAAGAACAAGTCTAGCTTCCTGATCATGTGGCGAAGGCCAGAAGAATGGGGGAAGCTCATCTATCAGTGGGTGAGACTATTCTGCCATGGTGACCCATGGCAGAGAATCGTATCTATGTTCAGCAGATACCTGGTGCTCCCAGGTCTAGACTGAGCAAAGTGGGAAGGGGCAAAAAGAGGAAGTATACGTCTTCCAGGCAAGCCTCTTTCAGTGGCTCAATTTCCCTGGCTGTATAGAACTTCCCTGCCTTTGACTGTAGGAGGCGAGAGGCTACATGAGGCCATGTTTGGAGAATGGAGTGCTGGGAACCATGAGTACTATTGTTGGCTGGAGTCTCTGGCCACAGAAGATAAATGAGGAAAGGAAGGAGAAAAAAAAAAAAAAGCCTGGGGCCCTTCCCCCTCTGCGCCCTTTGGGGTTGTCTGCCATATGAATGAGACATTCTGAACCGGTGTGGGTGTGGGGACAAACTCTCTGCACCACAAGCCCTAAACTTTCCCAGGGGAGAGAAGAGGGGAAGAAGCATCAACAACCCAAATATAACAAACTCATGCCACCTATTCCTGAACAGGAAACAGAATGAGAGGTCACTGCTCAGACATGTGAAGACCTGTGGTTTAGTGGTTCCGTGTATGTGTGTACACATATAAATATAGCACCTGTGGGGTTAGCGGTGTTTAGGCCACTCCTGCTGGGGTGACAGTGAGCCTGGGTTTGGGAATAGGTGCCATTCCTGGGTCAGATAGGTGGAGCTGGTGAGCTCACCTTCTCCCAGGAGATTTCCCGTCCTTATTCAATGCCTGTTTTCTGTGTCCATAGGTTTCCAGGAGTGGCCAGAACAACTCCGTGTTCACCCTATATGAACTGACCAATGGGGACGACACAGAGGATGAGGGTAATGCTTCTCCCTTCCCCCCAGTTTTGTCATCTGAATCCTCTCCAGTCCTTTTTTGACCGTTAGACTTCCCATCCCTGCCTCTGAATTCTAAATACTACATGATACAAGGCCTCTTAACCCATGTCCAAGGTTTCCCTAAACCACCTGAATTTATATGCAAAATACTCCCAGGTTTTGTCTGTGGGGATGTATGTGCATTTTTCTAGGGAATAGAGTCTATATTAAAAGATTTTCAAGGGCATCTGTGACCCATGAAAAGTTGAGAATTACTGGTGTAGATGCCGAATGAGGAGCTGGGGCAGGAGATTAAGCCGAAAATCTCATTCCTTGCTGAGACGGGCCTTTCTTTCACCCTTTATACTTTTAGAGGGCTCAAGATTCGTGGGCATCAGCTGAAGGGATTGGGCCAACACCCCCATCCCCACCCCCAGGCCTTTTAAATACTTTGGTTTCTGGCCAGGCAAGGATTTGTATACTGTTTGATTTTTACATAGTGTAAATATATTCTTAGCTCTTTTATCTCTGGCTTCATATTCTGATCCCCAGGATCACCAAAAGTTCCAATCTCAGCTGGGGAAAAAAGGGCACCTCCCCTTTCTGCCAGGCCCTGGCTGCCATAACAAAGTTTAGAGCTCTTAGCTGTTCCCCCCTGCCCTGCAGGCCTCTGCTTGCTACTCCCACCATCACCCCATGACTTCAGTGCTGCAGCCTTGCCCAGCCCACCACTCATGCTGGGCAAAGCTGGAGGCTTCCTCAGAAAGCAAGCTCCCTGACTTAAGAGGTAGGCCCCCATAGGGGCTGAGGTGTGCGAACCTGTTAGGACTTGCCACCTGCTTCTCACCTCTCCCTGCAGTATCTTGCCATATTTCCAGATACTCAGCTGGCCCTTGGCTCCCAGCCTTGTTCCTTTTAACTAGGAAAAGGCAGATACCCATGCTGGACTTTTAACAGTCTCCTGGTTAGAGGTATGGCTACACTTCTTTGTGTTAGGACAGGTGCTCCTGATGGGTACCAGTGTGCAACTAGGGTCAGAATCCAGTGACAAGGACCTTGACCTTCCTAGGCTTCACTGTCCCCCACTCTGTGGCCCACAAGCAGGTGGTGTCATTCTTGTACAGCAGACACATGCATGGGGGTGGGGGATACATGTGAGGGTTGAGTCTGACAGAAGAACCTGGAAGGGGAGAATAAGCATGAACTCTCATTTCATGCTGACTCAGGCTTTCTTTCACCCCTTACTCTGAGGAGTTCCCAGGAAGGGTTGAGGCAGCTGCCGCAGTATAGATGGCACACGGCCCCCCAGCCTCGAAGTCTCAGCTTCCAGCTAGACTCTTCTCCTCAGGGGCCTTGGGCCCCCAGAAGCTGAGTGTCCCTGCCTGCCCACCTCTCCCTATCCAGAGTTCCACGGGCTGGATGAAGCAACCCTCCTTCGGGCTCTGCAGGCGCTACAGCAGGAGCATAAGGCTGAGATCATCACCGTCAGCGAAGGCCGAGGCGTCAAGTTCTTCTAGCAGACACCTGTCTCCTTTTACTTCTTACCTCCCACCCTTCCAGGGCTTTCAAAGGGAGACAGACCCAGTGATCCCACAGACGGGATCTGTGACTCCACCAGACTCAAAAGGGCCCCAGTCCAGGGATGAGGCTTCCCACTTACTCCGTGTGTGTGTCTCTGGGGAAGGGTGAGGGTGAGGCTGAGGCGCCGGGGAGAAGAGATGTGATTCTCTTTGCCCCACCTCCTCTCCCGTCCTAGACTGTCCCTGAGCCAGGGTCTGTAAACCTTTAACTCCACATGTGTTCACACATGTAAGTACATACACACACGCGCCTGCACAAGCTTCTGTCTCTCCCCCTTCCCACCCCCTTAGCTGCTATTGCCTCCCCTCTCAGGCTGGTGCTGGATCCTTCCTAGGGGATGGGAGAAGCCCTGGCTGCAGGCAGCCTTCCAGGCAATATGAAGATAGGAGGCCCAGGAAGGGGCCTGGCAGTGAGAGACCAGGCTGGACACTGATTTATGATATTAAAAAGCTCAACCCCACTTGCCTGCCTGCCGTTGGAAGTTACTACTGGAATGGGCATGGGGAGAGCTGCGAAGCGTTGCCCCCTGAGTGAATCCCAGCCTAGGAGAGGGGAGAGGCCTTTGGCCTTTGTAAATGAAAAGGTCCTCCAGTGCTGGCAGGCTCCAGTGAGCCTGTGGTTTTACATCTGCTGGGTGGGCTGTGTGGGGGAGTGCTGATGGAACACAGCTTGGGGACGGACTTTCTTTCTCTGAATTGGAGCAACTTAATGGCTTCCCTTTCCCTCACCATCTCCCCCCATGAAAGTCCTGAACCACTCTGAAGCCTCTCCCTCCATCCTTCTGGTCTGGGTGGGGTAGTTGAGGCCAAGGGGAGCTGAAGGGGTGTAAACCGGATATGGACTTTGGTTTATTGGGAACTTTGGCAAACAAGGAGGAAGGAGAGCCCACATAGCAAAAACAGCTACTGTGGCCAGGGCCAGGCTGCGGCCAAGGTAGGGGAGGTGGAGGGTATGGGTGACTGGGTCCTTGGCTTGGGGGAGGGGCTTGCCCTGGGGTGCGCACACCCATCCCTGTGCAGCCTAAAGGGACAGCGGCTTGGGAGAAAACTAGACCGTTCCTCTGACCTATGTTTTGTCGGCCTGGGGCTACCCCGGGCAAACAGGAGGGGGTGGCGCTACCTTATCTGGGGCGTGCAGGCCGGTGGTAACCTTCCCTTGTACCACCCCCCTTTCTAGGGCCCGAGAGCCGCGGTCACGTTTCCTCTCCCAGTCCCAGCATCGTGCCTCCCCCACCCCCCGCTCCCAAACAGGTTTGCGCCCTCAGTGCGGGAAGACACACCTCCGTCTCGCACCCGGTCCGCCTCGGAATGAGCCTGCAGGCGGGTGCGCCTGGAGGCGAGGGAGGGGAGGGCCTGCGGCCGGGGGCGGGGCGGCTGAGGTGAGGGGCTGCGCACCCGGCTCCGCGCGCGCGCGGCTGGCAGCTCCGAGGGGGCGGCCCTGGTGGGGGGGGGGGGCGGTGAGGCCGGGGGGCGGGGCCGGGGCGGGGCTGCGGGGAGGGCGAGCCGGGGACTGGGGGCCCCAGGAGCTCAGCCAGAGCGCTGCGCACCCAGCCGGTCCGCCTGTCAGGCCGCCGCCTCTCCAGCCGCCCGGCTTACTGCCTTGCGGCGCCGGCCCTTCCTCATGCTGGCACCCCCAACCCCCGAGACTGCGGTCCCCATGTCCCAGGCGGAGGCCGACCTGGCCCTACGGCCCCCGCCGCCTCTCGCCGCCGCCGCCGGTCCGCCCCGCCTTGGGCCCCCTCCTCGCCGGGCGCGCCGCTTCTCCGGGAAGGCTGAGCCCCGGCCGCGCTCTTCCCGTCTCAGCCGCCGCAGCTCAGTCGACTTGGGGCTGCTGAGCTCTTGGTGCCAGCCAACCTCACCCGCTCCGGAGCCCCCTGATCCTCCGGACTCCGCTGGTCCTGGCCCCGCGAGGAGCCCACCGCCTAGCTGTCAAGAGCCCCCCGAGGGCACGTGGACCGGGGGAGACCCCGTGAAGGCTGCAGACTCCGCGCGTCCAGAGCTCGCGGGCTCTGCAGGAGGCCGGGGGCCCCGGGATCCGCCGACAGTCCCCGAAGCCGCGGCTCGGGAGCGGCAGCGGGAGCAGGAGGAAAAGGAGGATACGGAGACCCAGGCAGTGGCAACGTCCCCGGACGGCCGATACCTCAAATTTGACATCGAGATTGGACGTGGCTCGTTCAAGACGGTGTATCGAGGGCTGGACACTGACACCACGGTGGAGGTGGCCTGGTGTGAGCTGCAGGTGCGGCTGGGCGCCCTTCTGTGGCACCTCGGGATGGGACCCTTTGGAGGTCTTGGGATGAGAAATCTGGGGGACGGCAGCAAGGGAGAGATCTATCTTTCCAGTCAAATGTCCAGACACTCCTGCCCACTCCCCTTGGCTCTCATGATCAATGGATCTGGCTGATTCTGGGCTGCAGAAGGATAAACTGAGGCAGAGGGTGTATGGTGGCTTCCTTATGGGTTTTGGACTTTTTTTAAAAAAAGATTTTATTTATTTATTTGACAGAGACACAGCAAGAGAGAGGGAACACAAGCAGGGGGAGTGGGAGAGGGAGAAGCAGGCTTCCCGCTGAGCAGGGAGCCCAATGTGGGGCTCAATCCCAGGACCCTGGGATCATGATCTGAGCCGAAGGCAGATGCTTAATTACTGAGCCACCCAGGCGCCCCGAGTTTTGGACATTCTAACTTTAAAGTCTCTATACTCAACCCTGAGAGTTGGAAGATACGATGCAAAATCGGGTAGGGAGCCAGTTCAGATCTGAGGGGTGACTGGCCCACCAATCTCCTGCAGTGGTTACTATCTCTTCCTTTCCCTTTCCTCTTAGTCTTGAGACCCTCAGTATGACTCTGGTTCTCCTCCTCCTTCACCCTGAATCTTTGCAGGGTAGGAGGCTGGGATGATGGAGGCCAGGAGCTGGGGCAGGATCCTCTCCACTTCCAGAAGATTTAGAGCGGTGGTGGCAGGATGGGGCCCTCCCAGGCCCCTTCTGGAGCAGTCAGACTTCTAGACTTCTCCATAGCTGGGGAGGGGGGAGACAGACAGCTCCAGCCCTGGCCTGAGTCCAGTCCTGCTCCTCATCCCACTGTCTACCTGGGCTCTCCCTTCCCAGACCCAAAGGCACTGAACCCAGCAGGCTTTAGGGGGATGTTGGTGTGAAGGACCTTCTTTCCATGGAGGGAAGACCCAGTTAAGTCTGGGCCAGCAGCTTTGGATTTAACTGGGGGGCAGATCTGGGTAAGGGTCCTCCCCTCCAGCCCTGGCACTGGGCTCGCCCCTTGTGCCTGCCAATGCCAAGCCCCAGGCTCTAGGCCAGGCACGAAGAGGTGGCCAAATGGGGGGTGGGGTGGTGATGAGAAGGGGGCGGGACAGCCATGGGGCAGGGGGTGGTCTCCTGGTGCCTGGTCCTGGATCTTTCTCTGTAACTCCCTCTGCAGCCCTCCTGCCTCCAGTCTGGATCTAGCAGTTCCCGGTTTCTGGGGCCAACCCCCTTGAAGGCCCCAGTTCTCTGCCCGCTGTCAGCCTGCTGCCCGCCTGCTGCCTGCCCACTGCCAGCCCTGGGGCATCCCCTCCCACCCCACGGCTGGCCCGGGAGGCCACAAAGGCGCTATTGAGCTCAGGGCTCCTGGACCGGGCTGCATAAAGGCCCTTGTGTCCAGCGGAGGGTCCAGGGGTGGCCCCAGGCCCGGGATGGGTGTGTCCTTATAGCAGCCTGAGGGGGCGGATCGAGAATTCGAGGTATACAGCCCATTGGGCAAGTGATGACCTAGCCTCCTCCTTGGGCTCTAACCCTCACCTCTCCCCCAGCCCCTCCCCATGTGCCCCTTCCTCCTCTCCGTGGGAGTCCTGAGCCTGTCGTGAACTTGACCCCCGTCCCCTACCCCACAGACTAGGAAACTGTCTCGAGCCGAGCGGCAGCGATTCTCTGAGGAAGTGGAGATGCTCAAGGGGCTGCAGCACCCCAACATTGTCCGCTTCTATGACTCGTGGAAGTCAGTGCTGAGGGGCCAGGTTTGCATCGTGCTGGTCACCGAACTCATGACCTCCGGCACCCTGAAGACGTGAGCTCTGTGCCTGGTGGTAGTGTTGGTTGGTGGGAGAGCTGGTGGTGGGAGGTCCCCACTGCTTCTGGAACCTCTCCCACGCTCCTCAAACTCTATATTTAGGTCCAAAACCAGGCTTGCTACCTCTCACCCGTCCCTACTGTATCCCTGCCTTACTGAATGGCAGTGTCCACCCAGTACGCCAGCCAAAACCCGATCTCCCCAGATGCCATCTTTATCTCCATTCTGTGCATCCGCCTTCCCCCGTCAGTATGTCTCCAAGGCCTCCTTATAATTCCCCACTCTGCCTTCCCAGTTCCATCCACTGCCACCTCACTGGTCTGGAGCCCTGCAGCAGTGCCCTCTCGGGCCTTCCCCAACTCTGCCCTCACCTTTCCAATCTATCCTATCTTCCTGCAGTCTGGGGAATCTCTCCATTCCTTAAAACCCCTTCAAGGCTTCCCACCACCCTCAGGTTAAAGCCCACACTCTCTAACCTACTCACAGAGTCCTTAGGACTTAACCTCATCTTGAACCTAGATTCCGCAGGAACGGAATTCCCAGGACCTCCTCCCACCCTGCC